GATGAGACGTTATCCACGTCCATGCCGGCCAAGATGTACCAGGCTGGGCCCAACTACCTGGGCTCCTTTCAAGGCGATGGCAAAGGATGGTAAGAATCCAGTGCATGTTTGTACTCATCTTCTTCTTGTGCTGTACAGCCTCTTCACAACAAACACCAAGGGACTGTCAGGATTTGTTTGCTCCCTTGAGCACGTCTCCTTCATTTATGTGCAGCGAACATGTAGTCATACGCCCATAGATTTGCAGATAAAGTTCTTCTCCGGATCAGTGGTCTGTTATAGCTATAGGTACATCGTATATGCCCTTTGTATTAGTTTGCAACCGGTGCTTGATATGTCACAGCTCCGCCACAATTGCGAACGATGACGTAATAAGGCAACCTCTTTGTCATAGTCTTACTTGGAATTTCTAATTGAACTCTGGAAGTATGTTTTTTCCCGTGTGTGCGTGTGTGTGCGTGCACACATACATGTGTGTGTGTGTGTGTGTGTGTGTGTGTGTGTGTGTGTGTGTGTGTGTGTGTGTGTGTGTCGCCAACCCAGGAACCTCTCCGAGGGAAGCTTAGTGCTGAGTTTGCAGGCAGGTAGCTCATGTAACGTTGACTGCAATGATATTCAGGTCATTGCTGGAGAGCTAGTTGGCCACGCTATACTGATGGAGGTAAGTGATGGTGGACTTGCTGCTTGAAGTACTCCTCCGCCCGTCGTCATTGGTGCTAGGTACTAAATGGATAAGTTAGATGTTAGATGTGCAGCATCAGTCTCTATGCTGAACAATCTATGTCTGCTCTGGTATCTGACTTGGGCCTTCCACTTGAAAAAGATGGTCCGAGAACAATGGTGATATTGTTCTAACACCCCTGCGTTGTCCTGGGCTGCACGGATGTGAGGACTTAGTAAGATTGTTGTAACACCCCTGAGTTGTCCTGGTCAACGTGGATGTGAAGATTTGGTCAAGTTTTTCTGTCAAGTTTTCAGGCCATGGACCCAACGAAATGATTTGTTCACTGTGTACTGTTGTTGTCATGTGTTGCCGTAGACATTGGCATATACATACGGTAAAGTGCCTGACAAGAAGATTACCATGTTCTCCAATACGGCACTGCACCTGAGTGGGCAGCAGAGACCTATCGGTGCCTACGTCATGGCTAACGGAACGTCGCTGACGTTTTTCCGTCCGCAACCACTCTCAGCAAGTATCATCTCGCTCGGTGGAGTGACGGTGTTCCTAAGCCTGATATCAATGTCAGACAGTATAGAGATGCTGTATGCGTCTCTCAAGGCCCTGGTCAATTGCACGCTCCATCAGCCGGACATGATCAAGCAGATGGAAGAGCAACGGCAGTTTGACGTGAGTGTCCATGCGTATCCCGAAAACGTTCTCATAACATGTGCCTCACGCGTAACACACCGGGAAGACATGACGCCCCATGCATGATATGAGCTGGCTATCTTTCATTGAACATACTCGCTGAAGGAAAGTAACATAAGAATGAATAGCACCTTGTAGAATTATGGTGAAAAAGGAGGACGAAATGCTACGAGTTATGACTAACTGTCCACCAACGTAACCAGATCTTATACAGTCATAGAGTGCGACAAAATGGCACAAAAACTGACAAGGATTTTAGCATTTTTGTCCTCCTTTTTTCACCATAATTTAATTGGCTCGCCATCCGAGTTAAACCTTGTAGAATGCACTGTGTTGTGTGCACTGTGTTGTGTGCACTGTGTTGTGTGCACTGTGTTGTGTGCACTGTGTTGTGTGCACTTGAGAAGTACCTGTGTTTCTGTTTAGCCGTTCATGGAGCTTTTACTGCAAGTTCACCTGATACGTTCTGGGTAGATTTGACAGGGTCTTGTTTTCCTTTCTTCCGTGTCTATGCGTATATTCTCAGCTTCTTGGATTTCTTCTGCATCGCCGCATGTCCCTGGTGACAACGCGCGTCTTTCAGTTGATTCTGACGCTGGTTGGCAGTCACACATGCAGTGGTGACATGGATGATCAGTTTTTGCTCCCACACCCGCAGGCTTTCGGCGACCTTCTCTGTAACTTGGAGGTACGTGCCCCCTCTGCATGTACACATACACGTACATCTGGAAGCATCTGCCACTCCCCTCCAGTGGTCTCTCGAGCTGCTCTTCTGCTTGTGGCTCCATAGTGTGTTTCATTCTGTATGGTATTCTTCTAACTTCTAGGTACTGCTGGCTGATGAGCTATTTGAATTTCTTGTCCCCAGGTTTAATCCATGCGCTTTTGATAATTACATGGGCTGAAAACTGTAGAAACTGTCATCTGTTTTCTGTCCACTATGCTGTGCTGCCAATCACACGTGTTGGATCAGAATGGAATTTGAAGGTGACAACCCTTGTGTCCTGTTTTGTTTCAGATGTGGAGTGGCAGTCCGGAAACCTTCTTGCATTGGCTGTACCAGCATCTAGTGGATGTTGTGATGTCTAGCAGGTTAGTGAGTTCCTTGGCTGTGTTTCTTACCACTGTAACCATCACTGAACGGGAGGGAGCTCATGTAACAACACTACTTCAGGAGACGGTATATGCTGGTAGTCACTTTGCTAGATTTATCACTTTACCCCCCAGTGTTAGGTGCTTATGCAGTAAAAGACTTCGGCAACGTTTACCGTAAAACTCAATCTGTCGCTATGCGTACACTTCTTACATCCATTCTTCACTGTTCCTTCAGTCGCATTCTCCACTACCCCTTCCATGTCTCAATAGGCAGCCTGATTTTTCGTTTGAGTATCCGGGTTAAATCCAGCACGGGTTTCTTCTGTGGGTAGAGTGCTTCGCAGTATGTGCATTCAAAAAAAGATGATCTCTGTTGCCGTTTGTCCAATGCTTGTGTTGCACAGTGATGCCAACTTGGATCGGATTGAAGACATGCACCTGCTGGATCGGTTGTTGGTTGGAATAGTCAGCCCACACACCAGTGCCGTCGTTGCATGCGACATGGGCAAAGTGGTTCTGGCCATTCTCCGTAAATCCCCAACGTCGTACAACCTCCGAAAGTAAGACTTTCACCATTACTCTGCTGATCAGAATTCTGCAGTGAAGTAGGCAAGATATGACTTGAAATGGGAACAGATCAAGAGACTGTTTTGCTTCCTCAGAATTTGTGGCAGTCACACAAATGCGCACTCAATTTCCAACATCACTTTGGTTCTACTTCACCGATTTTCAAGATCTTGGGCTCGTTGGAAAGCTCTTGATGAGAGAAATACAATGAGCCCAAACTCGCCAAGAGCACTACTCATTGTCCACCACAACGCACTCCAAACGCGAGTCTAGCTCCAGATCTGAGACGAAATCCGTCTCCTGCAGCCATTTCACTGAATCTAGCTCGGAGCTGTTCAAATTTTTTCGGGTAGAAGCTTACCTTGCCGTGAATTCGCGCCGCGTCGGTCCTGGCACGTGCCACCTGTCGCGAAGCTGGGAAATCCCTTTTTCACGCACTGCTGACTCGCAGCACGCAGCGCAGAAAATTCAAAATGTTCGATCGCTCGACGCTCACTGAAACTTCATTGAAGAGACTTCGGATCTGTTCGAGGCGATAGCTGAGAGTTTTCTCAACCACCTAGACCCTTCGATTCTCGAATTTGGTCAAGATTTGGCCGAGAACCGAAAGTTTGACTGCGCCCACATGCATACAAAATGGACGCCAATGGGTTAACCGTTGCAGTCAATGGGTAGTGCATTTCCTTTACCCAATGTCTTACTTTGGTTATGCATGTGCACGGTGTGCGTGGTTTTTTTTGTGCTGAGCAGGGTAGCCCTGGTTTTGATCGGCTCATTACCTGAAAATTTCAAGGATGAGCAGATTGACAAGAGCGGTTTGCTCGTGTCGCAGTCAAAGAGCAGTGGTGATGACGAGTCGGAGGCATCATTTTCCCTGGACATGGTCTATAGTCAGCCAACAGTGTATGATCACAATGCGCCACTTGTTGTCACCAAGCGCAATCTCCTGCTGGATGTCTTGGAAAACCTGGCCTGTGCAAAGCACCGCGGGTAAGCGACCATGACCCCCTGTCTGCCACCTGTGTTACCTGTGTTGTGTCAGATTCTTTACCGAAGTCTCTGAGAAGCACTTCCTTGAATCATAATTATCTTTGTATGATTGTCAGCGAATCAACCAAACACTGGTATTCTGAACTGCTACCATGTGTTTGATGTAGGGTATAACAGGTCTGCAAGCACCTGAAGAGTTATCTGCATTAATTTGTGTATTTTTTTCTCCGCTGCAGAACCACACGAGGCTCGGATGTACTGCATGTGTTCGGCTTTGACTGCTTCTACCTTTTCATCCACTCGTTCATACATGGAAGTACGGTGGTGAGAGTGCTACGCTTCCTGCTCACGCTTCTGGACGATCCGCACCTAGCCACGCTCTTCAAGGAAGGCTCAGCGTGCAGCTTGCCTGAGTTGAGTACGGCCCTTAAGCAGGACTCCTTCAACCTGTACCTACCTGAAACGGTGAGACATAACCCCATGTCTTGTTGTTTAATGATTGACCCTGCTTCCTGCTTTGCTGCTTTGCTGCTTTCTCTACTTGTCGTATGAGTACCTATATACATGAAATGAGATTGATTCATTAGGGAGGTTTCGCTCTACGTAATTACGTATGAAAATCCGTATGTCGTACGCGCCGGGGAGCGAGGGCAACTTTCATACGTAAATCTCTCTACGGATTTCCGTAGGAAAGCTCTTTCCTACGTTGGGTCCTCCGTAGGACTTTTTGAAATATTTTTTTCGCATTTTCCGCATTTGTCCATGGCAATATTCAAGCCGCGCGAAACACAAGGTACACACACCGTACACCACGTGCATAATATCATGGAAAACGCGGTTTTGGTTCATGGTGCATACGGTGGGCGCATGCAGCCAACGCGTCTCCAAAGAAACAACGCATGTTTAGCAGTCTTGGAGAAATCACATAGAGCGAAACCCAACAGCTCTGATTTTTACGTATGAAAACTCCGTGCAGTTCATACGTTATTTTCATACGTAATTCCGTAGAGCGAAACCTCCCTATTGTTTATCTCACGGCACCTGTCACTCTCACTACGTTCAGATTCTTTTTCCTGACATTTGCACCATTCCTTCCGCAGATCAGTTTGTTGTGTGTTTTCACCTTGATGCTAACCCCCGCATACTCGTCTGCTGTTGGTACACCGAATGCTGCGGTCCCTTTCAAGAGTCTTCACTGGTCCTGCTGATGTGCAGTACTCTTGCACACTCCCCCCCCCCCCCCCCCTCCGCCAGGTGTGTTAGTAGTATAGGGCAGTAGGGGTTCTGGGACAGGTCAAAGGTCACGTTTGTCCCAGAACCCCTACTGCCCTATACTACTTGTGTTTTTTCGCTCGCACCCATTCTTGCTGACGTTGCATGTATCTGCTCTATGGTGATTGGGTTCCTGGTGCTGTTGCAGAGTGACAAGCGGACTACGTCTGACACACGGTCCGTCCGTGGCATCACAGCCGTGTCGACGGTTGCATCGGAGTGTGTGCGCCTCTGTCAGGTAAGCATCCTTGTCGGCAAACCAGGAAGGTGACTGGCCTTCTAACTGAGTGTTTTTGTCCAACTTTCAGGGTACTTGTACATGTGCTGCCAGCATCATATCATTCCACTTCTTGGTGCGGCAGAATCTGCTGTGCGTATAAATTCATGTGTGTGTGTGTGTGTGTGGGGGGGGGGGGGGGGGGATGTAGAGTCTGCATTGTCATTCTGTGCAGGCATCTGTGCCTTCCCCCTTCCTACTTGTGCTTGACCATTTCTCCCTTTTATGATCAGGTCCGGTGTGTATTTTGTCCCACTGTCCTCATGTCGGAGGGTGTTCTTTATTTGCCTTTGACGTTTGTTTGTTTTCCCGTTATTTTAGCTATTGGGCATTGCCAAGCAGTAACTGCAAGTGTTCTGGCTACTATATCGTGCCTTTCTCTGTGCCTCTAGGTTCCCATCATATTCCTTGGTCATTTTCTGAAGCGATCGATAGCGTCCTTAAGCGCAGTCTATCTAGAGCTGACAACCGAGTCTCTTAGAGAGTTCTTCAACGTGCCAAGTATTGAACCGTTCAAGTTCTTCAAGGAGAAACTTGATGCCAGTGCTCAGTCTCGCAAGTTGACGTTTAGTCTCCAGCAGGATAGCAGCGACTCTGGGCCTGCTTTTGGCGGTGTGTTGCCCAACGCTCACCTGGTCAATCTCCGCTATGACACGCTGCTGATCATCTTCAACTTGTGGAGGAGCATGTTGAATGCTGTGAGTACAAGCTTGTTTGCCGGTGGATATTTCGTTTAGATGATGGTGCAGATTATTGTTGTGCACCTGTAACTAAAATGACTGCCTAAGGGAATTGATTGCGGGTAGAACTCATGGACTGATCATATGTGCATGTTTAATATCTTGTAGCCTTTAACCAGTAGTAGGATTAGCTGTGCCCATCAACCCCTCAAAATGACAGTTTATATTTTTCTATTGGCTGCTTCGTTGCTCTATAGGCAAGTTCGATGGATGTGTCATTCATCGAACCATCAAACCTGTCTGCATTGATCAAGTTTGTGACGTCCATCTACATCCAGTCACCGGAGATGGCCAAGAAGATGCTGGAGAAGGAGTTCTGGTCAGCGCTGGTCAGCTGTCTCATCCCTTCTCCTGTGAAATCGGTAGGTGCCCACATCGTTTTACTAATAAAGAGGACTATTACTGTAGCAGGGTGTATTCATTGTATCCGGCGACACTAGTCCTGGCCACTGGGTTCGTTGAGGCTGCCTGGTGAATGTCTGCTGCTGCTGCTGTACAGGAAAACCTGACCACTCATTGTTCGATGTGTCATGAACTTTGAACAATGGCTGTCCCTGAAACCAGGTAGTCTCTCTCTGTTTTGAACGCATTCGGTGCCACAAAAAGGTCAACAAGACCAGGTAGTCACTGGAAAACTGCTACCCTCTTGGCTAGGGTTAACCCTTTATGTACTGAAAAAATTGTACACAGACTGAATTTGATCTCGACTCACCTCAAATTCTATAGTTATCTGGGTCATAACTTTAGTCTCCTTTTGACGATTTTTTCAATCTTGGGCTTCCTGGAAAGCTCGTCGCAAGAGGAACACATTGCGCCCACGCTTGCCACCACGAAGGTCAAAACGCCAGCGCTACAGCCCAGCGTCTTAGCTGCAACGCCAATATTCCGACAGAAGTCGTCTTGCATCAGCCATTTCGCTCTCCTTGCTCGTAACAACTAACTGTTACTTCAAAAAAATTCACAAACTGCCATGAGTCCGTTTACCATTTTGAACGTGTTTCTACGTCACTGCATGCCCAGAATGATGGGGAAATCCCTCATTCAAATTTGCGCGAGCGGCTATTGAGCGACATTTGCCGCGATTCGACTTTCGAGCTTCGTAACTCTGGAACCACACATCGGAGCGCTTCGGCGATTGTTTCAATGGACAGCTGGGAGTTTTCTCTTTGACCTACATATTTTAGTTTTCGGATATAACCCAGGAACGACTGAGTTACGATCGATTGAAATTTTGAAAAGTTTCGATCCCAGGGGATCGAAAGTTGTACAGTCCGTACACAAAGGGTTAACGTTCTCATGTTTGATACCATAATGGTGTACAGCAGTGCGTTCTTGGAGATAGCTGAGAATGCAATATACGTTGTCTGGGTTTAGTGGATTTCTGCATGCAAGTCATCCCCTGGTTTGATGCATTTACCCTAGCTCCAAGCCTGTTCTGGAATTGCTGGTACTTAGCTCAGAATGGCACTACAATGAGCATTATTTTGTTGTTAACTGGGGACCTCTTGGGGCGGAGGACCATCTCGTGCTTCAGATTCTGTTTTTTGTTTGTTTGCTGAACCATAGTTTGCTGTATTCTCGTTACCTGCAGTCAATTCATACAGCTACAGGCCACAAGTACAATCAGCAGTGCCACTCGCATCCCACTGTGTCTTCGAACCCGGCGTGCGACGACTTGCTCCAGCTCCTTTCACTCATCATCTTGGACAGCTTTCTGATCAGGCACGACGTGTCCCTTCTTATCGATGTCGTTGATGTAAGTGATGTTGCTATATTAGGGTAGATTCCTCCAGGACCAGTATCCTTCTCTGCAATAGTCTGCGAGGTCAAGTTGTTAATTCTTCAGTAAGGTTGGCCATATGCGTTTTAGTTCATGTACTTGAACAAATCATGTACTTCATCACTGTGCTTATGCCTGCGTTTGGTTAATCTGGCATGCCATCACTCTTGGTCCAGAAAAGGATCACTTCAAGGTCTGCCGTGCTCTCTTATGTCTGTGTTGAGGCTGTGTGGTTCCCCTGAAATGGTTTGGCTTCTTTTGTGTTGTGTTGTGTGTGTGTATGCAGCTCTTGACACTGTTATGTTGGACCGAGGACCAAGCACAGGAAGCGCAGACCATGCTGCTACGCGTTCTCATGTCGTCGCTGCAGAGGCTCTGCCCACTGCTACCCGGTTCTCCGTTCCTGCGGCAGAAGCACCGCAGTATATTCAAGGAGAAGACCACGCTGGCACTTGTGCAGTTCTGCGGCCTGATCTGTGACTATCTGACTAAAGGTAACGCTGCTCTTCATGTGCGTGATGGCTCAGGTACACCATAAGAGACGCTGTGTTGTGGCAACATTGTTCTCATTCCTTTTCCAATAAGTAAGAAGCAGTGGTATGTGCCCTGCTGTGCCATCACGCAACGTTACTATTTTTACTTGAGAAGCTGAACACTGTCACACATTGCGCCACAGGAGCGTGTAGTGTTTGAATCTGCCGGCTTTCCACTGCTTCTTGTAACCTGACTCGAGCTTCGGTGTCGCAGTACATTGGCGTGCGTTTAAGTAGTTTGTGCTGATGGCATCTCTGTATTGGTTGTACTGCACAGGTCTATTTGAAGGCAGTCCGACAGCATGCTACCGCTTCTTCGTGGGCATTGTATATGACTGCGTCCCGACCAGTAAGTTGTTACCACTCAATACTCGATCCCATTGCAGTTTTCTGCCAGCCATATCTGGAATTTCATCAGTCACCAGATGTGTCATTGTTGGAGAAAGGCACTGTTCAATGGCATTGTACTCTATCTGGAGCTGATCTGGAATTGATCTGCAGCTGATCCTCGCCTGATCTAGAACTAATCTGCTCAATCTACTCACAGTAGCACTTACGCATGCTGTTTATGACTTTCTGTGCTCCTACCTACCTCTTGACCCCTCGACTCTCAGCTGCATCCAGAATAGGGCTGCTCCGCCATCAGTAGGTCAGAATGACTGGCTGCTAGGCCAGACACATTCTTTGCATTTGAACTTTCAGCTGCAGAGCATTGCTAGCTCTGTCGCTAAATCGCACTTCACCTGTTTGTTTTGTTCTTGTTTGTGTGCAGCACCTCACTGCAAGGCAATCCTACAGATATTGTCGGAGCTCATTCTCACCGAGTTGAAGAAGGCGTTGGGCGGAAGGCAAGGTAAGAGTCACACTCAGTGTTTGCAAACCGAGTGCGTGTAGCATGTAGTCTTGTAGACAGGTACATACGCTTTCTAGTTACTGCTGTCAGTTACATCAAGAGCCCATAAACAAACACTAGTATATAAACTGTGGTCTCTAGTCTATGGGCCAGTTTCATGTCGCTGCTATCATGACATCGTGCAGCTACATCTGGTGAAGACCATACTTTCCCTGTGATTTTTGAAACCAGCTCTGTACGGAACTGAAGTTCATGCACGCACAATTTAGACATTGCGTTGGTACTTGAACTAATCATGCAGAAATGGGCATACTGGTACAAAGGACTGTAGGTCTGAATGCATGAGTACAAGGCTTGATGCAGACAAGTTAGTTATGTAATGAAGGCAACACGACGCACACTGGCCCATCGCCTCATTTTCGTACTCTTGGTTCTGAATCTTGGTAACATGTTGGATGACGGCTTGCAGGGTCAATGCCACACATTTCCCTTTTCATGTTACTTAGTGTGATAGGGTGAAGGTGAACACTTGTTCCACAAGGCTCCCTGTCTTATTTTGTCGCTTTCTTAGCTTGATAGTTCTGTAAGTTCACACTATGTACTGCTTGTGTTGTTTTGTTTTGCCACTCGTGGCATCGTCACTGCAGAACAAGCGCAGATTGCTAACTTGTTGTACTCGGTACGGCAAGACCAGGTGATGGTGATGCTGTCATCCATTATTGATGCTTCCCATGTGATGGCCTATCTGTACATACTGCCAAGGCTTGCGTACCCAGCCTTCTCTGAGCCCTCGAGTAAGTACATGTTTCCATTCCCCTGCATTCTTCATGGCATTCTTGGTCGTCAGGCAGTCATGGTGTTGGCCCACAGTCGAACGGGATGTTTGGATTGCACCATTGCCACATTGACTTTTCACCCGTTTCAAAGTGCAGGCAGCAATGATGCGGTAATGATCAGTTGTTATGTTCTCACCCTGCGTATTAGGCCACACGTTTTTACTTCTATGTTTCTCGTCACCTGAAAATCTAAAAACGTATGCGAGAGGTGGAAAAAAATAAAAAATGACCGAAAAATAATAAAAAGTTTATTAGACCTTTGTTCACACTAAAATCCACCAATACACCATGCAAAATAGCATCCATAGTTAGCAACTAGTATGTGGTAGGAGCTTCTGTCACAATCTGTGCATGTGCAGCTAGATTGCGCACAAATAATGCCGTCCTTGCATCATGTGTTGCGCAGGCCAGGCCACATTATGTACATGTGCATGAGTGTGCTGGTCCCCACATGCACAGTCAGTGCAGCACAGTTTTTTTTTCTTTTTTTCTTCCAGACTCCTGAATCGTAGGCGCGCGGGTGACAAGAAACATAGAAATAAAAAGTGTAGCCTTAAACATGTATTGTGTCCGGCTGGATTGCTTGCGTTCCGATTCTTCAGATTCTGGTTCACCGCCATCTTCACTTACCTACCTGCGGGCAAGAAGTATGAGTGTTCAAGAAGATACCATCAGCCTCGCGTCTATGTCCAAATCTGTGTCAAGTGAAGTCACTGAAGCAGCTCAGGAGGTTTGGATCAGCTTCACTACCTGGATGTATGAGGTAATATTGCCACTACATGTACGAGTACCATGCTATTGACCGAACATGTATGTTGATAGGAGTGAATCTGAGCATCCCGTTGCACACACTTATGGGCACCGCTCGGGCCTTTACACTCATGCACTACTGCCTTGTTATTGCTCGGAGCTTCAAGGAATTCCGCCAGTTTTTGTCAATAATAAATCTGTGTTTTAGACTACCTCTTTGCCGTAGATATCTGGCGGAGGGGCCATGCGGATAGATGGATTTATCTTACTAGAACATGCATACGTTCATGTGTGCCTTGTGCTTTGGGCTGGTTTCATGCAGGACTTGTCTTCTCACTTCTCGTTCACCTTTCCTCATCCAAGCAAGTTTGCAGCTTCTGAGTAAGTGATGTTGTACAACAGCTGCCTTGCTAGGTTTTCTGTACGATTTGCAAGAATAACACGCGTCATATCAGCCTGGTATAGTGCTGGATGCAATGCACTCTTTTACAGCTCTGGCATGCAAGGTTCAAGCGCATGTCCTTTCGACGGGAGCAGCTTGGTCTGCGTGCCAACTCAAAGGCAATGTGTTCCATTTGCAGCTGCTGGCATGCTCGGCATAGGTGGAGCTTTGCGCACACAAGAGCTGAGCAGACGTGGTTTGCACCATACCAGCCACACAATTAGTTTGTCAGTGTGGGTTGCGCAGTATGCATGGTATGCACTGTATGACCTTTTTCCTCCAAGTACTGTACATCCTGGTGTGTACGGTAGCAGCAGATATCTGCACGTGCGGTGCCACTCGTAAATGCAGATCTCAGGCATGGGGGTAGCAACTGATATCTGTACAAGCGGTACCAACTGTGAGTGAAGATGTCAAGTATGGTAGCACCCGTGGGCGAGTTCGATACTCCGTTTATCGTATCCTAACTTTTTACCTCATTGTTCACTACTAGTATTTCTATTATTGCCTTCTAAACTTTGCCTTTGCTTGGCGTGCCAATATGCGATTTTGACGTGTTCACTGGAGCTGAGAGTGCATTGCCGGGGAAATAAGGCACACTCTTTGAAGCCGTTTGCTGTCTCCATGGGTGCAGTCATGTGGCATACGGTAAAGCGTGGTACAATGCTGTAGCACAGTAAAAACTAGTTCCTCCCCCTCCCCGTCACCCACTTGAATCTGCGTACTTAATTAAGTGTACCTTTTAGTTCAGTTACAAATCTCGGTTCTCGCCTACCCTTCTCTCTTCCCTGTCTGTTTGTTGATGTGTACTGCAGACCGACATGTCAAGATGAGTTCCAGGACTTGATGTGAGTAGGCAACGCTGACACTGCGTTATTTGATCACTTCTGTCTGCATCAGATGATAAACTGGTCACGCTCAATGGCTGACTGTTTGCTTGCTTACCGTCAAGCCGCAATCTGTAAAGGAGCATCCGAAAATTTGAAGTGCTCATGACAACCACATTCTTCTTTTCTAATTCTCAATCTAGGTGAACTCCGAATGAACCGTACTGCGTCATTGTTTGTCAAATTCATCCTTGCTTGCCTCAGGGTTGTGGCACATATGCTAAGTAGGCAATGAGGCTACATGGGCTGGACTGGCATTCGGTGCGGTGACTTGTACACTGTGCAGGATTCTCATGCATCTCTTTTTTCCCCTTGCCTTATGCTCTAATCATTGTTGCAGTGACCGGACAACTGAGAAGACGAAAAAAGCGTGGAACAACTTCTGCCGAGGGCCTGCAGACAAGAAAGCTAATCAGGTAAAAGAAAGTGTGTGTGTGTGTGTGTGTATGTGTGTGTGAGTGTGTGTGTGTGTGTGTGTGTGTGTAATCGTGTATGTGTGTAAGTGTGTATGTGTGTAAGTGTGTATGTGTATGTATATGTCTGTATGTATATGTGTGTGCGTGTATGTGTCCGAGAAGCTTCAACCAACACTGGGATGTCAAATTCTCGTTTGCGGTGCATGCACCGGACTTGGGCCTAGTCTGCCGAGTAATGTGCGGCAAGTTTGCCTTGTGTGCGGATGATTTGATTGGCCAGGTTCAAAGTTTCTTTTCGCTTCTTGAGGGCTACATGCAGTTCTGAACTACTGTCGAGATTGCTTCCCGCTGTCAACATGTAATGCCAGAACTTCAGGGTTCGATTCAATCTAGAGGCGATTTAGTTGACCTGAGAATATATCTTAGTCGTGTTTAGTACTTACAAGATCTTTACGAGTGCCTGATGTGTGGCATTGTGTGCAATGTTCTTCTTTGCTACTATTTTGGTGGTGGTGGTGGTGGTGCTGCCGCTGCTACAGAAAAAGAGCCTAATGCTGTCACCACGTTCTTCCAAGCAGTCTAATGTGTTCATGAATTTCAAGGCCGAAATGACGACGTGTGATGTAAGTGTCTGTGTTTAGTGAGACCCTGGCCCTGTATTGCCTGTCAGCTATTACCAATCAGCACTACGTTGTTTAGACTAGAGCGCACTTTTTTAAGGAGAGCTTCTCATGGTGATCAATCTTGTCAGCTGACATCTAGACTAGGAGTTGTTATCATTGTCAGTGTCCTGAGTTTGTAAGTGCGGTGCGACGATTGTATTGTTTTCGTAAAGGTCTTCCTTGCCGCCACATATGCGCATCTGTTATTGACAGAGAAAGTAGCATACCAGTATACTTATACCTATGCTGGGTGCTTCCCATTAGGGCTGCCCATAAGTTTTGAGCATGCAAGTAGGCGAAAGCAGCATCTGACCATTCGGAGCCGTTTAGTTGTAGTGGAGCATATCCAGGGTGGCGTCGACTCTGTAAGTAGCTGTCCGATTATGAGGACCGCCTGTGGGTAGCATATGCCTGGGCTCGATTACACCAACCTGTGTACGCCGTAGGCTAGTACTGGTACAGCGAGGGTGGTGGCAGCTGGGCAACAGTACTCATCCCTGGCCATGCATAGTCATGTGCTTAGCAGTGTATCTAGCAAGCTGCGTCCCCCCCCCCCCCCCCATCCATGCATAGCTATGAATCCGTCACGGTGAGCACAGGCGCTGATCCTTTTTCATATTGCACAACATCTACACTGTGCAATATACCCTGTACATGATATATGTATTGTAAAAGCCATTATTCTAACGAGGCGCATATATAACGATTCCCCAAAATTGACTGGTTTACGTGTACCAAAGGTAACGATTCTCACTCATTCTCAACGCTCAATAGGACAGTATATGTATCGATTTCTGTATAACGATTTCTATTTTAACGACAGATTTCTCCTCGTTAACTCGTTAGAGTTAGCACTTCGTTATATTATATGGCTTTTACAGTATTGTGCGTTTTGTCGCTGCTCCGTGTTTTGTTTGTCTGACGTGCAGCAATATGTGAATAACAAGTCATTTGACATCGGAATCTCTATCAAGAAAGCCGTGGAAGCAGTGTGTCGGCAAAATGCCATGGTAAGTTGCTTGTGCACAACGTGCTTCAGAGACACTCTACTGCCCTGAGCGATGAGATGAAGCAGATTGTTCCCCGGACATTGCCTGCCCAATGACCTTTCTGTGGATGGTGAAATGTCAGTGGAAGTGCCTCTTAAACCATGCTTTATCAGGAGCTTGATTCTCACAAGCTGGTTATGTGTTTTATTGTATTCGCTCCACTCTCAGTCCTCAGCACAGCGCCAGATTACGGCGCAGACCAACTGGTTGGCTCTCGAGACAGAGCTACACGGTGATGGTGGGCTGTGGGGACCTGCAGGCGAGTCCAAGATGAAGAAATGGCAGCTGAACACGCTTTGCGAAGGTTGGTTGTGCTGCTGTCACTGTAAACTGCGTGTGTATCTTGATAGGCAATGCAGTCACCGTGTCTTTACAGTGTTTGTTGCGATAACTACCCCTTTCATACGCTTACATGACACGAGATTGCAAGAAAAACCGTCATGATCAATTTCACCCATTTGAGAGCGAATGCTGAGGATATTCCCGGAGCATGTTGGGCTAAGGCATATTGTAAGATTCTGTGACCACTGGCATGTACAGTACTTCTCTGCTTTGCGCTAAGCCTGTGTAGCCAGGATGAAGCCAGGGTGACGCAAGCCTGCTATTGCTGTTCGTGTTCCGGTGTGTGTTGCTGTTCGTGTTCCGGTGATATTCACCTGCAGGTCCGTGTCGCATGCGCAAGAAGCTGTGCGAGAACACCAACTTCTACCTGAACTACCCTTCACACGAGGGCGAGGACGAGGAAGAAAAACAGCCTGTAAGTCTGGGACGCGCTGGCAACTGACCTTGTTTATGTATGTCACGCGGAACGAGATATTGCATTAGCCAAGGCATGTGCACTGCCATCTGTTTTTGATTGCAACACCACTGACAAAATAGTTGGGTAGCTCACTCTGGTCATTCGGGAGTGTGTATGATAGGTTCCCACTTTGAAACAGGCTGGATTCCACACCAGTTCATGCAGTTGGATCAGGAATGCTTGGATCGTCCACCTTCCCCTCCCCTCCTCCCCTGCTAGGGCTGGGTGTACGTGTGAAATTTCTGCCTGGGTTGAAGCTCTGTACCGTTTGAAAAAAGAGGTGGTTGTGTACACGAAGAGGTTTGACCGAGGAGAATACTAGTATGCCGACAATGGTCTACGGTATGTCCCGTGCCCTGTATAGCTGTCAGACTAATTTGGCGGCAAATTTGTTTTAATACTGTGCAATTCTGGCGGCAAATATGCATTTAAATGGGGTGCTTTGTTGACCTTTTCCTTGGTTTGACCCCCCCCCCCCCCCCTCATGGGAGGATTGAAATCAACCCAGGGCAAATGCATTGCATCAAGTAAATGCCTCAGTCGAGCTCTGTTCATTGCTAGTTGAACACAACCTGGATTGAAACTTCTCATGTAAACCCAGCCCATTGTTGGATATCTGATCTCCGGTGCTAATATACAAGCGTGTTGCCTGAGTGGCAATTTGGGACATCGCCTCACAGTATGTTTGGGACTGAGACGTGGGGTCACTAGTGAGTGATGATGACTTGCTTCTACTCTCTGCTGATCTGTACCAATCCCAGCTGTCCAAGAAACAGGCGGCCATGAGCTATGACAGCGTTGCACTGCACAAGTCCATCGTCAGCCCGATAGGCACAGAGACCAACCTCCGGAATCTGGTGATGCATCGGACGTCCTTTCACAGAGGGAGCTCCAGCACCACTTCTCCTGAAGAGGTCACGGAAGAAGCAGATGACACCATATCAGAACACAGTGCTGAATGTGAGTGCCAATCCGTGGTTTTCCTTTTTTACCATTCCTCATTCACCGTCTTTGTTGCTAATCACAAGTCTATAATATTAATACATTCTCGCTGGCCTCAAGCGAAGGTCCCTGGTTCGAGTTCTGGTGGTGACAGTCCATTTTTTCTTCAGACTTTTTCCTTTTCCATTCCCTCAACCTATGACAACTCTCAGCCATCAGTATTTTTTATTACAGCAATCAGCAGGATCAGCAAAGTGGTCATTGGACGCAGTATTTAACAAGAATAAATTTAATGGTGGTTTAGCGCGTGCGCTAAGCCCTGTTAACGAACGTGGAACACCTACCACTCATACTTAGTCTGATGATCATGCATCTGATTATGATGTCATTGCTATACATGCGCATGCGCAGCGCGCGCCACTCTCCCACGCGTGCTTTCCAAATCTTGCTTTAGAGAGAGAGCAAGAGAAAAGAGAGACTCCTTTGTCACATTTGCTTTCCGACGACTTGACTGTTCACTGGTTTGTCCGTCAGTTGTCAATTTTCGCCATTTTCCTGCCTCAACGGACATGCCAAGAACACGGAGCACCTCACGGGGTGCAAGCGCTGCTGGCACTGACGCCGACGATCCCCCAGCTCCCTACCCGTATCCGCAGCGGGCTGTGAATTCTGCGAATTCTCAAGACCATCGGAGAGCGAGGTCCCGTGTGATCCATGCTCATGGGCACATTTCAGCCAACGCGGACCAGGTGACTTCTCCTGCGCCGTCACAACCAGCTCCTTTCACCCTGAGCGACCTGACTGGTGTTATCCAGCCCCTCCTGGAGCGCGTGGAGCGCTTGGAATCCAACGTCGTCGCTCCTACCACCTCGCCCATTGCCGCCAGCACCAGCATCAGCTCCTCTGCCGCTGGGGCAGCCTTCCCCGATGCACTTGTGACTTGGGTTGCGCGGCCGGCTCTCCAGGACTCCCGGTCATCCCTCCACGGCTGCGGGAACGTATCACACGAGGTGAGTTTGTCGAATTTGGGGACTTGTTGCCTGAAGCCATGTCCGGCAGTAGTGATGTCCTGCAGTTGTCGTTGGTGAACGGCAGGTCCGTTGAGCTGGTGCAGAGCTCGTCCACTCCCCAGCCCTCCAAGCGCCGAGTCCATGACTTGGCGACGTGGTTAGAGGCCTTCACCTTGTTCACCAGAGTCCTGGTCGATGCGTCGCCGGACCAAGCCCCAGATTTGCTGGCGTACCAAGCCACCATCATCGAGGCCAACAACAATTATCTGACCGACGCGTGGCTGACCTATGACCGTCGTTTCCGTGCTGGTCTTGCTGCTATGCCGCACCTGTATTCCTGGCATCAACTGGTCCCTAACCTCTGGCAGTCCTGCTTCACGACCCGCGGGCGCCCTATCTGCTCGCGTTCTCTCGTGCACCCATCTCCAGTCCTGCATTGCCCCTTTCGTGGAGGGCTCCCTCTTGCGCAGCACGCAGGCGGGAGCCAGTCAGCCACCAGCCCAGCTCCTCGTCTCGATGGCCGCCAGATCTGCCGGAATTACAACAACGGCGCCTGCACATACCCGTCCTGCATACGGGCCCATGTCTGTCTGTCATGCCGCGGCAAACACCCAAAGAAGACTTGCACCCGAGCGGCCTCTCAGTCTTCCCAGTGACGTCGTCACTCCAGTCAACGTGCCTCGGCTAACTGCACTGCTAGCTGCTCACCCTGATGCCCTGTTTCGTGATTATGTATGTGCTGGCATGTTTAACGGTTTCTCGGTTGGTCACACCACTCCTCTGGTGTCATGCATTCAATCTGTCAATCATCCGTCTAGTCTCTGCAAAAAACAATTTGTCACCCTGTATCTACAGTCTTGTTGCGATGCTGGGGAAACAGCTGGTCCGCTTGCTGAGCCGCCATATCAGTTGTTTCAAACCTCGGGTTTGGGCCTGATCCCAAAATCCGATGGCAAATTTCGCCTCATCCATGACCTATCCTCCCCCACTGGCTGCAGTGTCAATGATGGTATTTCCCGGGAGTCATTCAGCTAGGAGTATGACACTGTCGATTCGGCTATCTCCTATATCATGAAGTTAGGCCGTGGTTGCTACCTGACCAAAGTGGACATTCGAAACGCCTTCCGATTATGCCCTGTTGCCCCCTCTGACTGGCACTTGTTGGGTATCTCTTGGGATGGTCGTTACTATTTTCGGTCAGCTCCGTACATATTTGACAAGTTTGCATCTGCCCTTCACTGGGTTCTGGAAGACACATGCTGCCTTCCCCATCTCATTCATTATCTGGATGACTTCCTGAATGTATCGCCTCCCAGTCCTCCTCTTGCCCAGCACCAGAAGTCACTACTGCTCGACCTGTTTGCATATTTACAGGTCCCAGTTGCACCTGAGAAGGTTGATGGCCCCTCTACCGTTCTCACCTTCCTGGGCTTAGAGCTGGACACAATGGCTCTGGAGATCCGCCTTCCACCCTCCAAGCTGTCTAAGCTATCTACCACCGTGTCGGCCCTCGTCCAATCCGGCCGGGTTCAGAAACGCGACCTCGCCTCCGTATTGGGCAAACTCTCGTTCGCGTCCAGAGCTGTACCAGCTGGTCGCACATTCCTGAGACGCCTGCACGACCTGGACAGAGCAACTCGATCAACACCATTGCACCAATGGCTGCGCATTTCGGCATTGGCAATGGCAGACCTGTTGTGGTGGGCAGAGGCCCTGACCATATGGAATGGGAAGTCATTCTTCCTTGTGGATGAGTGGACGCCAGCCCCCGACATGCAACTACAGACTGATGCCAGCGGCACTCACGGTTATGGTGCCTTCTACAACGGTCGGTGGCTGAGAGGAGAGAGCAGCAGCCGAGCCAGATCAGCCAGTCTTGCCAACTCTCCGTTGACAGACTCCGTGCTACAGCTAGCAGCACTGGCAATAGCACCATCCTCCCGCCGGACGTATTCTACCGCCGAGACCCGCTACTTCCAGTTCTGCCAAGTGCATGCCTGCAACCCATTGCCAGGCGACGACTATACTTTGTGCTATTTTGCTGCCGAGTTGTTCAGGACTCTTCAGCCTCGATCTGTCCGTGTCTACATGTCGGCAATCCGCAACCTTCATGTGAAACTTGGCTTTGCTTACCCGTCGGGCCCAACAACTCTCCTCGCTAGTGTCCTGCGGGGCATCGACACAGCGTCATCGTCTGCCGATAACCACTCCACTTCTCAGGGAGATCTGCCGGCATGTTGCCGTTCAACGCATGCGGCACCCTCACGACAAGGCCATGCTAAGGGCAGCTTTTCCCTTGGCGTTTCATGGGTTCTTCCGTTGTGGAGAACTGACTGCTGGCCTGAGGCGATGTGATGTGACGATCAGTACTGACCAGCGGTCGTTATCGGTAAACGTGCGCTCATCTAAGACGGACTCCAACAGCACGGGCCACACAGTATTGGTTGGAGCCAGCACAGACGCACTGATCTGCCCAGTGCAGGCCATGGCAAACTACCTGGCGTTTCGCCCCGGCGGCGACCATCTGTTCACTTACGCTAATGGCCAGCCGCTTACAAGAAATGCAGTGTCCTCTGAACTGCGCAACCTGCTGCCACTCTGTGGGGTCACGGACCCGAGTGCATATGCCAGTCACCCGGATTGGCGCCGCAACATCAGCGGCCATGGCAGGTGTCCCCGAACACATCATCCGCATCATGGGTAGATGGCGCAGTGATGCGGTCCACCGCTACATCCGGGCTGCTACAGCTGACACCCTGCGAGTGTCACGTCAATTAGCTGCAGTTCAAAGTCATCAATGGTAGCTGCGGGTTAGTGACCACATTGCGCCTGAACTGCTTAGCTTTAGCTTTACATTGCTGCTGTCAGTACAGCACAATACACCAATCGTATTTCATTATTACTCTCATGCCATATTGGGGATATTGGGAACGGGCAGTCTATCTCCGCAGCTGGCTCATTTCAATCACTACCGGTCGCAGCTCCTGCCCACGGCAGGTCGACCGTCTCTCGTTCACACTCTGTGTGCTCCAGGTAACAGCTCCTGCGCAGAGCAGGCCGACCTGTCTGTCTCTCTCTCTCACACACACTCTGTGTGCTCCAGGTCACAGCTCCTGCGCAGAGCAGGCCGACCTGTCTGTCTCTCTCTTTCACACACACTATGTGTGCACCGGGTCACAGCTCCTGCGCAGAGCAGGCCGACCTGTCTGTCTCTCTCTCTCACACACACTATGTGTGCACCGGGTCACAGCTCCTGCGCAGAGCAGGCCGACCTGTCTTTCTCATGCACGCCAGCTGCTCCGCCCAATATCCCTGATATGCCAACCAGAAAACAATGTGTTCTGAGCCGGGTGCATGCCTGTATGTGGAGAGTGCGTTAATGGTGGTTTAGCGCGTGCGCTAAGCCCTGTTAACGAACGTGGAACACCTACCACTCATACTTAGTCTGATGATCATGCATCTGATTATGATGTCATTGCTATACATGCGCATGCGCAGCGCGCGCCACTCTCCCACGCGTGCTTTCCAAATCTTGCTTTAGAGAGAGAGCAAGAGAAAAGAGAGACTCCTTTGTCACATTTGCTTTCCGACGACTTGACTGTTCACTGGTTTGTCCGTCAGTTGTCAATTTTCCCCTTCCCTCCCAACCCCATTCGACTGGGGATCACTATCTCTCCGTCACTGTCACCATAATTTCCTCAATAACAGTGTCAGTACAACTCTTGTCAATATACTTATATCGGGTGAGGGCAGTCTATCTCCGCAGCTGGCTCATTTCAATCACTACCGGTCGCAGCTCCTGCCCACGGCAGGCCGACCGTCTCTCGTTCACACTCTGTGTGCTCCAGGTAACAGCTCCTGCGCAGAGCAGGCCGACCTGTCTGTCTCTCTCTCTCACACACACTCTGTGTGCTCCAGGTCACAGCTCCTGCGCAGAGCAGGCCGACCTGTCTGTCTCTCTCTCTCACACACACTATGTGTGCACCGGGTCACAGCTCCTGCGCAGAGCAGGCCGACCTGTCTGTCTCTCTCTCTCACACACACTATGTGTGCACCGGGTCACAGCTCCTGCGCAGAGCAGGCCGACCTGTCTTTCTCATGCACGCCAGCTGCTCCGCCCAATATCCCTGATATGCCAACCAGAAAACAATGTGTTCTGAGCCGGGTGCATGCCTGTATGTGGAGAGTGCGTTAACAAGAATAAAATATGGATAATGAAACTTCCTATTCACAAGCATTTTTCTGGAGTAAAGGAATGAAACAGTATCACACCACCTTGCTGAGTTTCTAATCGCTTCCGCTTGGCTGTGCTATTCTTGTTTGTTTCTCCTAACTCTACACCAGCTTTCTTCCAGAGTTCTCCTCTACCCAGTCCAGACTCGCTACCAGCCGGATCACAATCTGTGAGTATGCAGACGTAATCAGCTCTAGCATGAAGGGTTTACCGCAAGCCTGTCCGAGACCGGTGTGTTCATGTGCGGGTCAAGAAGCTTTGGGATGTTGCTCTAGAACGCTGATCCCCTCGTGGAGAGCTTTTGTGAGGAACTGACTCTGCATGGGTGTGCATGATCCCCCCCCCCCCCCCCCCCCCCCCCCGCCTGCAGTAACCACTCACAACTCCACAGGCCCACACTTCGTGTACACACGGCTCCCAGTAACGTGTGGGTATGGTATAGCTGTATTGTTTAAGTTGGTGCTTACAAAGGATGTACTCAGTGTGCTGAAAGTGTTTGAATGCCACAAGGACAGAGCTCAGTGCAACAGAACAGTGCGCAAGAGGCTACACTGATTATTTCACTATGTACCTGACACTCAGAGTAAAAACTAGAATAGATTGATGTTTCAATCAGTGTCAATATTTTTCATAACGAAACTCTCCTTGACCCACCCACCCACCCATAAACGAAAAAGTTTCGTTGGACGGCCCCATAGCACATAAATAGCTGAGTCACTGAGTTGGTTTGCAGCCAGTGGATTGGCTCTCAACTTTGTCTTATTTTCTTGGAACATTGAACTGTGGGACTGTTGTGATGGTGTGTGTGTGTTAATTTGCTGACTATCTCTGTTTGTTTGCATAGGGTGTGCTGAAGATGCTGGACGCTGAGATTCTGGGCAGCTACCCGTGTGTTCTGGTGGAGGGGCTGGATGTGATCGAGGGTCACTTTGCGTTCTGCGGCTCTTCGTTCTACATCCTACGCGGTGTTGGTCTTGATGTGGCCAAGGACACGCTACCAGAGTATGTCATGCCTAGAGCAAAGACTTTTTTTCTGTCGCCGCGCATCAACCACACACATACACACACACGCGCGCGCACGCACGCACACCATTGGTCAGGTGGAAGAATCCTTGAAAAAGGCTTTCATTGCCAGTTTATGGATACTTGAACCTGGCCAATGGTATGTGTGTGTGTGTGTTTTACTGATTGCATTCCTATATTTCTAGCCTCCACGAAAACTTTTCAATTATTGTAGAAGCTCATGTTTAGAATAGTGATGGCCTCGTGTTCAATGTATAGTCATTGTGACACTGGTGGCTAAAGCAGTAGGTCGTACTCAGTAGTCACTGTGTAGGTATGACAAGCGAGGGCTCGGCATTGCCCCTGCTTGGACAACTGTGTGCTGGCTATGCTGGATGTTTGAATTCTTTATTCTCACGATGGCACCATCGCCAAAAGGACATGTTGGAGTCGGTGTTGTCATGTTTGGACCTCCAATACGACTCCTGGTGTCTCCCAAGTCTCCTGGTCACTGAGTATCATTCTTGTGCTCTGCATTTTCTTTTCCACATCTTCACAGTGATCTCAAGGAATTGGCCGAGAGGCAGAAAGCTGCGCACAGAGAGCCCATCACAATCAGGTTGGTTGTTGGCGGCGGCTATATCTTCTGGTGTGCATTTAGCATTGCATGCACAGCAGCAAGATGGTTTCAATAGTTTGCCACAAGTAGACGGACTTCTACTGGTAGGATGTCCCCTCCCACTTATTAAACTCTGCATTATAGGTTTGTGTTTTGTGCATAGATGTTGTCACGAGGGACTGTAAGTAGTAGGTGTTCTTTTTCTAATACTCGTATTTTCTCTGTTATGCTCTGTCCATGCCCACAGCACGATGCACTATTATTACACGGAGGTGCGCGAGGTTTACGAGCGGCGCTTTCTCCTTCAGGTTAGTTCTCTGCATGTAGTGCAGCTGACTAGCTGTCTGCGTTGCTGTGATAGCAAGTACCGACTCGCAATGTGGCGTCATGGCAGACATCAACTGCTTGTGCAGTGCGTGTAGTGCCGGCATCCGCAAGTATTCTCACACACTCATTGTTCTCCGAAGTCCACTGTTCCTGATTTCAGTTCTTGCTGTGTCCGCATTGGCAGTGGATTTCTTTCTCAACCCACCCACCCACTCCACTATTGTCATCATCCTGTTTCCTGTTCTAGTTCTCTCCTGTCGGTATCCATTATCATACCGGCCTCGTGCGTTGCTTCTATGACTTGTATATCTAGTGTGTGTATCTAGACTACTAAAGTTCCACTGATCACTGCTGGAGGGGAAATGGTATTTTCAAAATTTGTGGACTGCCGCTGACACCTTCAATGTAGAATATTTGTTGAGATTGTTACTGCGTGTGTGTTTCTATTGTGATGATGTGTAGAACTGTGCCATGGAGGTGTTCCTGACAAATGGCCGCAATCATCTGTTGGCGTTTGGAAAGGTGGTTCGTGACATGGTGTACCAGAGGTAGGGAGATGCATTGCTTATGGATGTATGGATGTTATCAAATTCTTGAAGTATTTTAGCACAGAGGGAGTTATATTTGGGTCAGATTTGAGGAACCGAAGAGTAAGGTTGTTGTGTTGCTCAACTCTTTTTGAGAGAAAGTTTCATTGCTTCATCTTGGTGTGTAATGCTATGTTATTGATGACAGCCACACCATAGCTCAGTGGTTAGAGCATCGCTGGCCTCCAGTGAAGGTCCCTGGTTCGTGTCCTGGTGGTGACAGTCATGTTTTCAGACTTCTCCCTTTCCCAGTCCCTCAACCAGTGAATACAGTATCTTCATTTTAGTTCATTATAGGTGCCGATGTTGCTGCCTTCTTGCTGTGGATCATGAATGATGCCACAGCTACTAATTTCTCTATCATTTGCTCGCCTATAATATGTTCATTTGTCTCCTTTCTTTCCTGTCTCTTCTTCACAGACTGCTGAGTGTTAGCCATGGGATTCTGTCAAATCCTGATGAGTCTGTTTCAGGGATGAAGCAACGCTCGTCTGGGTATGTTTTGGAAGGGTTTCTTCACGCTTCATGTGATATACTGCACTTTGTTTATGACTGTGTGCATCTCTACAATGCTGTCAAGATGAACATTTGTGCCGTACAGCCTGCTGGTGTGAAAGCTTGGAATGGCTCGCATTTGTACCTGTACTAGTGCACATACCTCTGAAGTTATGATGCAACCCTGTGCTCTGTGAGGGAACTTTGTGCATGTGTGTGCAATGGCTTAATATATTTATCATGCTTGTGCACACGTGTGTATGTTTGTGTGTGTGTTTGTGTGGTCTGTCTGTCTGTCTGTCTGTCTGTCTGTCTGCCTACACCTACACAGTCTGCTAGGCAGTTTCCGGATGAAGTCTGTCACGGAAAGATGGCTGGTAGGTGACTTACGGGAGTGATCACTCAAGCAGCATCATGTCTTGATTTTTTCTTGGATACGCTAGTCAGTCAGTGTTTAGAAGAAACGCATTGTGTTGGTCTAGGCAATCTAGAGCGTGTTAGTTCCACATGCCCACTTTAGCCTTTTCTTTGCCAAGATTCCCAGTGCGACGACTATGACATAGCAAGACTTGATACTATGTCTGCGTTTTCTATCGTTGTTATCACAGCGGGACGAGATCAGTAATTTCCAGTACCTGATGCATCTCAACACGTTAGCGGGTCGTACCTACAATGACCTGATGCAGTATCCCATCTTTCCCTGGGTGCTGTCTGACTACACGAGTGAGGTGAGTGCAGTACTGTGGTGTACCTCCAGGCAGCCAATGTGGGCTGTGCATGCGGGCCAATAAGAGAGACCAGTGGAGCTCAATGAGTTGTAAATCAATGTCATTAATCCGGTCTATTCAACCACTGTCTTGTTTTAGTAGCCTTGCAATAGAGTTTTGTCACTGAGACACTCGCAGATCTCCTTACCGGGTACATGGTATATGTTCAAGTCTGGGGAAACCCCACCTCTTGTATCACTGGCAGTTATGCCTGTCGTAAAACGCTTGTCCAGTGCAGTATTCGGCGGCTGAGTGTCTCCTCGTGTGTGTGTGTGTGTGTGTGTGCCCACATCAGACTCTGGATCTAAACAACCCGGCAGTGTACCGAGACCTGTCTCAGCCAATGGGAGCACAGTCACCGTCACGCTTGGAACAGTTCAAGAAGCGCTACGTGGAGCTGACAGACCTAAGTAAGTATTGCTGGCATTGCGTGTGGTGATGTTCTTCTCTTTCACTATGGCTTCATTCTCTGTATGTCCGATGATCCTCGCTGTTGATCAAGCAACAAGAAAATAGCTCTCTTCACATACTTTAGACGATATCCTTTCATATCGTTTTTTTTCTGGGCCATAGCGAACTTCTAGGCTCTAAACGTGCCCTTGTATTCCTATTTGGTTCCCGGCATTACTGTACTTGATTTTTTCCTCTTTCAGTAAGCCAGTCCGGTGTTCCTGATGGCTTGACTTGGATGCCTTTCCTTTTCTCTTTTGTTTTGTAGACCACAAGCCCTACCTGTATGGTACTCACTACTCTTCAGCCATGATTGTTTCTTCATTCCTGATCCGGATGGAGCCATTCACGCAACACTTCCTAACCCTTCAGGTATGGAGGCAAAAACCTTTATCAGTCTGTGGCTGAATCAGAGGTCTGGTCTTTGGCACATGTGCAGTTAATGTGCCTCACTAGCCTTGGTTGGGACTGTGGTAGGGACTTGATTTAAAAACCTTGTGTAACTTAAAGTTTGCCGAGATAGAATCACGGCTCAATTTTTGTATAGTGACAGTTATGAATGGCCTAGCACGGAGATTATTGCAGGGAAAGAGTACAACTTTCTATTTGCCTTCTTTTTGTGTCTCCATGTATGCAGGGAGGTCAGTTTGACTTGCCCGACCGTATGTTTCACAGCATCAACGAGCAATGGCTGTCGGCATCCTCAGTCAACATGGCTGATGTCAAAGAGCTCATTCCAGAGTTCTTCTATCTACCTGACTTCCTGAAGAACAGCAACAAGTTCCGTTTGGGTACGACGTTTTAGCAGTGTTTGTCTTCTGTTTTCTTTCAACTACTCGCTTGTTTATTGTAGACTGCATATGGTATGCTCACATTAGTTGAGTTGCTCTTCATGAAGACTGCTGTTCTTTGTTTGTCCCTGCCTGTATGTGTTCCCTTCTCGCAGGCGTAAAGCAAAACGGATCTGTTCTGAACGATGTCATCTTGCCACCCTGGGCTAAAGGAGATCCGAACGAATTCATTCGCCTTCATCGAGAGGTAATTATCTTTGACATGCTTCCAAGAGAGACCGTGGCTGGTGCTAATATGGTCATTGTGCATGAGTTGAGGATTACAGTAGAACTCCCTTTATCCGGGCAGGTTGGGACCCTGCACTACCCACAACTAGGAGGGGACCTTGCACTACCCACAACTAGGAATTGGGGAGTTTCACTGTACAGGAAACGTGTGTTGCCTTCTGAAAGATGGCCGTCAACAGTCCACAGCACTGTAGCATACATTGTGAAGGTCCCTTGATCGGTCGGCTAAAGCAGGCGACCCTGTGATTAGAAGTTTTATCTACAGGCAATTTGGTGTTCGTCTATTGTCAGGATTCCACCTGTTAACAGTGTCTGCTCTAGGATTTCAAACCAACCGGGTACCCGTGTACTTGGCACAACCCTCGCAACCAGGTCAGAGCTGGGTCGGTTCAAGTATGTCTACTGCATCAGGGAATCAGGGAGTTGTAAATATTTTAGGATTCCCTGATGTGCAATTTGAAACTCGGATGTTGAGCCATAAATAAATTTGGAAGAGAAAAGGACATATGGATACGAGTTAAGAGTAACTCTCCATCACTGTAACATGATACTATATACAGTCAGAAAGTGCAATAACTAGGCACAAAACTGACAGCGTACTGAAACATTCGACGTCCTGACACCTAGCTTCAACACATCTCCGTAGCGCTAACCGACAGCCTTCCAACTTGGAAGGTTCAAGGTTATGGAAAAGACCAAAAGAGGGGAAGGCAAGCGCAACGAAAACGAGCAAAAGCTACAGTCCCAACGGAACAAAGAATGTCGATTGTTACTGGACGATGACGAGACCAGTACGATATTTGACAAAGCGGTCTAACTACAATTCGAAGCAGCAAAGCAGCACACCACCCAACTTGGGTGGGTCATAAATATCAAAGATAAGTAAAGAAAGGGAAGCTTTGCGAAAACGAATTGTACAAGCCGAAAGCCAAACTCCTACAGTACTCCTCATGCATGACATTGTGATGGACTAGTTGACTACAAAACAAGTTGTTTCACACGACGTACGTTTCGCCGTATGGTTCGTGACGGCTCATCAGGTGTGCAATTTGAAACTCGGATGTTGAGCCATAAATAGTTAGACCGCTTTGTCAAATATCGTACTGGTCTCGTCATCGTCCAGTAACAATCGACATTCTTTGTTCCGTTGGGACTGTAGCTTTTGCTCGTTTTCGTTGCGCTTGCCTTCCCCTCTTTTGGTCTTTTCCATAACCTTGAACCTTCCAAGTTGGAAGGCTGTCGGTTAGCGCTACGGAGATGTGTTGAAGCTAGGTGTCAGGACGTCGAATGTTTCAGTACGCTGTCAGTTTTGTGCCTAGTTATTGCACTTTCTGACTGTATATAGTATCATGTTACAGTGATGGAGAGTTACTCTTAACTCGTATCCATATGTCCTTTTCTCTTCCAAATTCCCTGATGTTGTTGTTGTTGTTGTTTCTTTATTTTACTTCACCATATGAACTTGCAAGACTGCCTTCTCACCGGGGCTATTGGCCCACGGCTCTCACAATATGATGAAAATGTTTAAAATGTGCATGAAGAAGAAAGGAACGGAAAAGAAGATGAAAGGAAAGGAAAGAAAACAGTAGTTATTAATTTATGAAGGGGAGGGGTATGAAATGGGTATTATCATACTTCCTCCGCGTCATCGAAATTGTCGCAGTTTGACTTTTGATATAAAACGGGGCATTTACTCTCCAGCACTCGTACCAGAGGCAAGGAATCGGACATAGGCGATAGTCATCAGTATAGGGTGACGGCAAAGTTCTATTTTCTGTTATTGGAAGCTGGAATTTTTGAACTAGACGCAATTTCTTCGCTGATGTCGCTGCGATGGTAATTTCGACTCGCTGAGATCAGTCAGGCGTTGCAGCCTGCACATTTCTCGTGCTTATGGCCATTCACTCAAGCCTCATCACTGTTTTACCTTAGCTGGGGTGAGAATGACTTCGTGGAACAAGTGACAGCGCTTGGAGAAACATTGAGGGGTCAGCAAACTAAATGCCTGCAACATCGATAAAATGTGTCGCTCTGGCTGAGACACTCAGTACATGATTGTACCTGCAAGAGCTGTGTAGACTCTACACGTAGTGCTAGTGATGCACGCGCAGGTGCCGTACCATGGTATACCAGTGATGCTGAAAAAGAGGGCGCGCTGGACGTGATAGTACCCTTACCTGCATGAGCTGTGACCACACAGCTAAAATAAATTAGCATGCCACGGCTAAAAAAAGTTCATTTCAAGATCGAGGTGATTCCGCCGACGGTAATCAACCGACCTCGCAACGATCGTGTATTCTTACTAGGCTTCGTTGGGGGTGAAGTAGAAATCATCCAGAGCTAGCAGACGACAAGAATAGCAGCTCTTGTCCTGTGGAGAAAGTCAAAGCGTTTGAGATGAGGCGCGACCAACTTTCAACCTTCCTTGAAATATTTCGGAACGATATTTTGCGTCCATTGACATCAGCGACGACGAGGACTTCATCTCTGCCTGAAAACTCTCGATCCAACTGTCCTGGAACGTTACTCTAGTCTTCAGACTATCATATTGTGGAATCAGTTTTGAATGGCTTAGCTTATGGAGTTGTCAGTAACAAGTGACAAGTCACTAGTCAAACTGCGACAATTTCGATGACGCGGAGGAAGTAGTTGATGAGAGAAGTATGATATCAAATATGATGTTTATTGTATTCCAAACCGGGTCACCTGTGACCCGGTATTCTTTTTCCAAATGGGTCCAAGTACCCCCCCCCCCCCCCCCCAACCGGGCATGTGGAAACTTTTTACTGGTCTTCTGGAGTTCTTGGTAAGTTTATTTTACGATCCCAATTCTCAAAATGTGATCTCACTTCTGCTGGTGCTGCTGTGACTCTGCTCAGGCATTGGAAAGTCGGCATGTGACGGCCCACTTACACGAGTGGATTGACTTAGTGTTTGGCTATAAGCAGACTGGCCAAGCATCCCAGGAGGCAAACAATGTCTATCATCATCTCTTCTATGAGGGCGCAGTGAACATCGAGGAGATAGAAGACCGTGTAGAACGCCAGGCCACTGTCACCTTCATCAACAACTTTGGGCAGATGCCACAGCAATTGTTCAAGAAGCCACACCCGAGCAAGCGTGCGCGTGATTTGACCCCAAGCGTCGACTTGACAATGCCATCAGCAAATACGGCGGCAACACCAGAACCCTCTCCAGCGAAAGACTCGACGGCAGCACGGGGCATGCGTTCAGTTTCCAATGTGGCTGAATCAGACGCGGCCAAAGAGGCGGACGCGCAGAGGCGACCAGAAACACTCACACGACAGCGCAGCTTCTCCAGTAGTCGCTACCCGCTCTTCTGTTACCTGGAAAGGCTCGGCAGTTCTGATGAACCTTTCCTACGTAAGTAAATAGCCGGCTGCACAACTGTTATTGGACGGTATCACTGTATGGGAGCAGTTAGCGTTCAAAGTGAACTTCTATCTATTGCCTATTCTTCAAACAATAGAAGGACAGAGGAAGTGTTTTTACTCAGAGTTTCACGCACTAAGCGATCATCAGAAAACAGTAATTGGAAATCTGGATCAGTATTGGTTTATATCCTCACAAAGCAAAGTGTAAATAGCGGCAGTGCAAAGCGTGAATGACAGCAAGTGGTGAAAGGTGACAACCACTGGAGCTGGTTGTCTCTTACTTAATTAGGTGATGGCTGTAGCTGGTTTAAAGTTCCGAAGGTAGTACCTATTCTCATGGCGACACTTCGACACAAGCTCACTCCTTTTGTTCAGAGAGAGGTGCTTGGGTGCTTGCGCGATTGCCAATTTCTCTGCCAGGCACAGGTTGCACCTTTTGCTTTTGTTGCTGTAGGCCGCTGCTCTGCGGTGTACCGCCCATTGAATGCTGCATGCCTTCCCTTCATCCTTTTTATTGCCTATTCTTTATAGTGTCCGCATTCAGAGTAGTGTACGTATCGACCTCGCATCTACTCTTTACAGCGTGTTAGTTTAGGGTCTAGTGGCTTGTCTTGTGAGACGTGAAGCTGTGCGCAACCCACTCCATTTTTCTTCATCTACTCTTCAGTAGTCACAAATCAAGTGTTGAGCACTGCTGACAACCCCGCTGTTCACGCCTCTTCTACCTGGCTGATGATTACAGACATATTCACGGAAAGGTCAGCCACAGGTTGGCCTTCATGACCATCCAATGAACAATCTCTGAGGCCTATGAAATTCCAGCATTCCTCCCGAATCCTTTTTGCAATGTTCTTTTCAAATGTTCTGCTTCAGAGCAGAACACTGGCCTTGCTTACGTACTTTCCTATGGATGTTTGTTTGGTTGTGTGTGTGTGTGTGTGTGTGTGTGTGTGTGTGTGTGTGTGTGTGTGTGTGTGTGTGTGTGTGTGTGTGTGTGTGTGTGTGTGTGTGTGTGTGTGTGTGTGTGTGTGTGTGTGTGTGTGTGTGTGTGTGTGTGTGTGTGTGTGTGTGTGTGTGTGTGTGTGTGTGTGTGTGTGTGTGTGTGTGTGTGTGTGTGTGTGTGTGTGTGTGTGTGTGTGTGTGTGTGTGTGTGTGTGTGTGTGCATGTGTGTGCATGTGCATACATGGAACTGTGTACTCTTTCAGAGCTATCTGGACCGGTAGGGCAGATATGTGTGACAGAGAAGTCTCTTCGAGCTGTGGAGCATAGCCGGGTAAGTTGTCTGCCGGACTTCTGTTGATTGTGTAGTGTTTTCACAAGACAACCTGTTTCGTTTGGAAGCATGAACATGTGAAGGGTGCATTGGCATATTGGCACGCCTTTGTACATCAGCTTTATACAAGTATAAGTATGTATGAAAGAATGGTGTGAACATTGGCTTACGTTGCTGTAACCATACGCTCTGCTTTTATATGCGCCGGTAGTTGGACTGTTCTTGTTTCCACTGTTCTCCAGGCGCTAATTCCACCGCTCTACAACAGCTATGTTTCATGGTGGTTACCTGATAACAGCTTGCGCTTCTCCAGTGGCTCTGGGAATACGGTAAGTGCCGCTAGTGGACCAGGTCAATGCCATTTTAGTGCCGCCTCTCTGCTGCTCTCATGAATATCTATTTTCTTTAGGCTAAATCGCCATCCGTAAATGCACGAATTTACTAATAGAGGGTATTCGATAGTCATTTTGACAGTGCACATTTCATCAGCAATCTGGGTTTGTGACCACCATCTTGCTGCCAGTAAAGCATGGAAGCACTGAATGGGATTTTCAGTCTTGGACCACGTTGTGGTGGGTCTGATCTACTCACCTCCCACCGCTTTAGGAGCTGCATCTGCGCCTTGTCTCACGAGAGCGAGTCTCACAAGGACCATGAATCTTTTCTACCAATAAGTCTTGCCAAATAGGGAGGAGCAAGCTGGCTTGTCTTCCACATTAAGGCGAAATGTGTGCAGTCAACTGGCCATCTAATACCCTCTATAAGGAATTGACTATATAATTTTGTAAGGAGGCCATTTGTTGAAGATTATAGAGGATATGCAGTGACGTCAAATCTGCCATATATAGGAGCTAGCTGAGTGGCAAAATGCCCATTTATGGGTTAAGTGCGTACAGAAACCTTCATTTCTCATTTCCTGTCCCGAAAGTGCAGCTGTCACCCCCTTTTGATGGTGTCACTAGTGCAGTTATTCAATTCAGACAATGGTGATGTTCTTGTCTATGTTACGGGAACGTGACGCAAAGAATCACGGGAAAGCCCTTTGCGTTGCCGTAAGGTAAAGGAAACTGTTCTGCTCTACTTTCACGTAAAGAAGTCACGTGATGTCCCCCTACCGTTCACGTATAGCAGAACCTCACTAATAGAGAAGTTCTGCATTTCAATTTTCGGAATATTTCTCGACTTCTGGATTCGAGAGTCGGCGGAGCAGGTGGACGTTCGGGGAAATTGAACGGAAAGAAGCAGACACGCACTTCAGGCCCCTGATATATTTGACCTCACATGGCACATGCACAGCATATCCGTATGCGACCAGACACAACCGCTGAACGTTGTAGCCTCTATCCTCCGGAGAGACCAAAATACACTGCCGGAAACTTCACCCACACACGTAGGAATGATGCGGGGCATTTTGCTGTGTGGCTGCTGCCTTGTGTTCTCTGTACAGGTTATTGAGAGGTTGCAGAACTACCAGTTCAGCGCGTGTGCTGTGCCGTCACCGGAAATCCTCATAACCGGCGGTTCCAATGGCGTAAGTACATGTACAGTTCTGGCCAGAGAAATCCAGCCTCATGAATAAAGTAGCGTCGCGTTCGAGTGCACAGACCAGTGTGTGTAGTGCTAGGGCTGCGTAGCACCTGGTACTATTTTATTCATGAGGTTGAATTTCTCTGGCCAGTACTGTACATGAGCACAGAAAACACACTTGACACCGTGGTAGCTGTATGGCCTTGGGCAGCTACTTCGTGGGAGACTCTGCCTTGGTACAGGGTGGCGACTAGCCTAGCTCAGAGCTCATGTCCCGGTGTGTCTCATGGCATGCTGTCTCACACCTGTTTTGTGTTGTTTTACGTCAACTCTCTCCTGGCTCACCAGGGGCTGTGTTGTACATACTTCTGTTATAGAACAGGCCGCACTCGGTGGGACTCGTCTCTTTGTCACAGCCCACAAATTGTGTACAAACCAGGTCATTATTTTTAATCTTGTTGCACTTTATGATGATCCCTAATGTCCAAGCTGGAAGGCTGTTGGAGTGCGCATCCAAGATGTGCTAGAGCTGTTAGCCAGTTAGTTGTAGAACGTCAGTACCGTCGGCAAGAGTACATAACCCCCTAGAGTGTGCAACTCCAGCTATGGGGTCTGCGACGGCAGAACTTCACATCACATGATGAACCCGTACACATATGTGCACTCTGTGCATGATTGATACAGGGTTGTACGCAGCCTAGCTTTGGGTACAACTCTCTTGTGGTCACTTGGCACTGTTTGCCAGCATAACCTTTTGAACCATGTCACGTGATGTGAAGTTCTGCCGTCGCAGCACAGCATAGAGGTTGTGCAGGCAGTTGCACACTCTTGGGGGTTATGTACTCTTGCCGTCGGTCAGTGTCGTGCAATGTTATCGCATAAGCTGATTCTTTAGTAACTGGTGGTGTTAGTGGACATTATAGCGTAACTTGTAGTTCCTTAGTCCTTTTTCTTTTCTATAACCTAACATGTTATTTGTTGTTTTCTTTGTTTTAGCTGATCTGCATCTGGGACATGGCGAATGCATCCAAGGCAAAGTCCACCAAGCTGTCACTTCGAAAGGTACCATAGAAGTCACTGTGCTTTCAGCAGAAGAACTGTCCATATGTTGTGTTATACAACCTTATTTCTGCCAACTATTGCTGTAGTGTCTTGCATAAAAGCCTGTCTCATAATTACAGAAGCCTGTTTTGAATACAAGCACTGTCTGGTTTTAGTGTTGATGTACATAGAAATACCTGGTTTGAATAGAAGCCTGGTTTGAATAGAAGCCTAGCCTTGACATCGGCTTCCACGGGGAATAAGCCCGGCTTTTATACGCGACATTACAGTATATCCACAAGCTTATGTTATCACTATGATGGAGTTTATCTCTATGCCTGTTTGTCTGTCCTTCTGGCCGGAATTTTCTCTGTCTGTACACATCTTTCTAAAAAGAACCATCTCTGTCACTTACTCACTCACTCACTCACTCTCGTGCTTTTCCTCTGCTTTTCCTCTGCTTCCAGACTCTTCATGGGCATTTGTCCATGATCACATGCCTGTCGACGTGTGTAACGTACAGTGTCTTGGTCAGTGCAGCAAAGGTAGGTTCAGTGTAACCCTTTCTGTGTTCAGCACCTTCTCATGTGCATCTTTTCAATTGAAATACCAAGCGTTTGTTTCGCTGCGTGACAGTGCGCTGTACTGCATATGGCATACTTGGTGCATGCGTTGGCTCGTTGTTGAAGCACAATGACGAAAAGTGATCTGTGTCACTATCATCAGAACATTGAACACAAGTGTTTTTTCGCATGGGAGTAACTTAACGTTTTGTAATCGAAAAGCTGTTTTACTTCCTATCCTTTTGTGAGTGCAAGCACTCTTTTGATACTATCCTGCTCCCTTCCGTGTATCTGTGCTTCCAGGATGGTTCCTGTATCCTGTGGGATTTGAATCAGTATCGATTTGTACGTCGTCTACCAGTACATGAAAGTCCAATCTCTTCAATCGCCATCAACTCTGCCACGGTGAGCTCTCTCTCTCTCTCTCTCTCTCTCTCTCTCTCTCTCTCTCTCTCTCTCTCTCTCTCTCTCTCTCTCTCTCTCTCTCTCTCTCTCTCTCTCTCTCTCTCTCTCTCTCTCTCTTTGTCTCTCTTCACACGCACATACCGTATTTTTCCGGTTGTAAGTCGACCTTTTACGACTAAAAATAGAAGGAGAAAGGGTGGGGGTCGACTTACAACCGGGATTCGACTTATAACAGGGAACTATCAGAATCTTACAAAAAATGACCAGCCCTGCATGCATGAGTGCACCATGTGTACACATGTTTGCCAGTTTATTGGCCTTTTTCAAGGATTGGGACGTTATACCCTCCAATAAGGAATGTTTACATGATTTGTTGATATGTTAGTAGCAGGGAGTGGTTGGTATATAACGGCAGTGCTTCGTTGGGTGAAAACTTTAAAACGCAGAATTGAGACCTCCGGATACGGGGGTCGACCTATAACCGGGGTCGACTTACAACCGGTAAAATACGGTACATGCACGCACACACACACGCACACACACACACACACACACACACAGACGCACGCACACATGCACGTGCCTGCATGCTCACACGCCTTCTGTCTGCACATTCCTCCGTCTGTCCTGACCTCTCATTCTCACGGCTCACTTGATACTACAGGTATTTTTGATGAAGCTGTGACTTCCTATCCTGCACTGGCTGCTAATATTATGAGCAGTCAATTCTTCAATCATGATTCTGTTTTGTCTGTTTGTGTGTTGCAGGGTGACATTGTGACATGCGCCGACTGCACACTGTCTGTATGGACAATCAACGGCGATCACGTTGCCACTGCCAGCATTCCCTCCGCTGGGGGCACTATCCTGTGCTGTTGTATGTCAGACGTGAGTGGTAGTTGAGGGAACATTAGGACACTTTGGAGAGACTAAGCGAGTCCTGAGACAGGCATTTCACGAGTGTGATCAGGGACAAACCCATTGAACAGCCCGGAACCCCTGGCCAGACAGATCTGACTGGAAATGCGGTGACAAGCCCTTTTCACAACTCGTACAAACTGTGCACAGCATGCAATCAATGAACTGATAGTTGAGTCTTCGAACATGCTTCCAGCTTCCTTGCGTAATGAGTCACAGCCACGTACAACTGTCTAATTTTTCCTTTGTGTGCGTGTGTGCGTGTGCGTGTGTGTGTGTATGTGAGGGTGTGTGTGTGGGTGGGTGGGTGGGTGTGCGTGTGGGTGTCTGGTTATCTTTTGCAATAATTTAGCAAATGACCTGGGATAGCAATAGCGTGATCGTGACCGGATCGACAGATGGAGTTGTGCGGGTAAGACAGTTGCTGTGTTGCAATTCTAGTACATGTGCAGGTACTCCTAATCCGATTATTTTGTATTTCCAAGTTTCCAATTTTTCGCTTTGCCGATCTTCAAGTCATTTGACGTCAAACTGCCGTGCATGCTTGTACTCCGCAGTGCAGAAAGTGCGCCTGCCAGGATCGGGCACGGCAAAGCTCAAAGATTTGATTGACGACGGCTTGTTCCCAGTTATTGACTCCTTTCAAAGACCTCTGCAGCATTTCATTCCAGTTCACGTGCAGCAAGGTTTGCGGGCATTGGCGCTGTCGACTGGAAGACGTAGAATTGTTTGTGTCCATGTCCTGCTTGCGTTTGCTTCAGAACAAAATGTTACGCTCTTCCAATGACAAGGGTTGAACTGCGCTCTTCTGCTGCGTGTGTCCTTCGAAACCGTCGCAAACTGTAGCGATAGCTGCCAAGATATTGGCTAGAACCGAATTGAAAGAGACGACAAGAATTGTTGCATCCAGTGTTTTGAGCACGCCTGGAGCTGTGTGTGCCCAACTAGTACACCGTCAGCCAGGTGAATAATGACAACAACTCGCGAATATCGACATAATCTTCGAACTCAGCAACCATTTGGCAGCATACCCTCAACCTTATGAACAATAACAACTCGCGCATAACGGCGCTTTTCTCATGCATGATCGGGTTTGTAATCAGCAAAGTTGACTGCTGTCCCTTTGCATATGGACGGAGGTGTGCGGCGCTGCCCTAGTGAGACCTAGATTCAGCAGAAAACAAGTTACTGCCATGCCTACAGTGCTTCTCCGGCATCTCAATTTCCTGATGTTTGGTCCATCATCTTTTACTTCTACCACTGTGCACTGAGCTGTGATTGTGTTCAATGTATGGCTTTGGCTGTTTTTGTTTCCCTGCAGTTCTGGAGGTTGCAGTGGGTTGAGCCGCCAAAGACGGAAGGCTTTACTTCCCATCACGTCTTGTCTTCCCGCGACACTGTCAGCGAGTTTTCACCGATAAACCGTTCAGTCGTCGGGTCTGCACGCCCGTCGCTGACCGTAGCGGACTTTTGCACAAACTCAGAACAGACGGCATTCGCCAAGCGACTGTCGGCACGCATGCACAGCCTCAGCAGCAGGCGTAGCAGTGAGCGGCGCAGCGTGGATCAGCCTCCCAGTGATCCCGGTTCTCATGAAGACACCGCTTCACAGATAACGTCGGACTCACCTGCCTACAGCACAAGATCAGCGAGTAGTGGTGACTCAGGTAATGTCGGTATTTGAACAAAAACTATTCAGCTGCCTATTAGACTTACATGCACGAGTATATCCGAGAGCAAGACATTTATTTTATCCAAGGCACATTTAAAGCCTTGTGAGTTGCGTCTGTTGTAATCCACTTTGTGTGTGGTTCTTTATCAAGATGGTTCAAGTTAAACATTGGCTTTGCCTCGGCTTCCTTCAGGTGTGTATTAGCCATGAACCCTTGGTCTCGACCTCGGTTACATAGCGTTTAACGCATGAAAACACGGAGCAAGAGTCATGCGAGCCAATGCAACTAACAAAGAGAGCCAGGCATGAAGGCTGCTGAAGGGTGTACGTATGCAAAGCGAGCTGCTGGGAGAGTTTGCGCATGCGCACAACGGCGCATCCGTGAGCTGGCGCGAACACGCGCGTGATAGACATCAGCATACAGTGAAAACATTACGTCACCGCGTTAACATACTTTAGCTACGCAAAACTTGCAATACTCAGTACGTATACACGTTCGTACACGTATAACGTTACGTATGTCGTTTAGGACGATGACTCGAAACTGACAAAGCAGTACTGAGACATTCCGTGCACAGCTTGTGCCCCACTGGTTTCTTCGTTGTCATTTTCATATTTCCTTGGCTCACCAATTGAGTCTATTCCCATTCTCTCTCTTTGCCATTTTCTTGTTGCAGTTTCCTGGAAGCGGCGGCTGAGATTGGTGCACCGTCTGATGAAGCACACGGCATTCGACTACCCTGGCAACCCGGACCCTGCCAGTGTGACGGCTGTGCGAATGTCAAAGTAAGAATGTAGCCATGCCTGATGAACTGCATGTCTCTGTGCTGCGCTACTAATACTCTTGTCCCGATTCTTCTCCCGAGTTGTTCTCCTTCGTTGTATGAAAGCTTAGTCAACCCGCTGCAATCCAGGCGAAAGTGTGATCATTTTGATGACACTCAAATGCAACGCGCTTTTGTGTACATCTCTGCCAAACACTCGCCAGATTTTACAAATAGCACTGTTAACCCTTTACCATCCAACCAAAATTCCCCAGCAGTCCCAAATGCAATAATTTTCACCTTATTCTGAGAAGATCTTTGGTTCTAATCAACCAATTTTCACAATCTTGGGCATCCTGGAAAGCTCTCCACGAGCTGCGTACATAGTCATTGAGCTCAAATAGAACACTACCGAGATCACATATCCAGCGCCAGGGAGCTTCAAATACACCCCATCGCTGGATATACGAGGAAGTTCTCTCCTGGCCAGCCATTTCTCGCTCCTTCATCGTAAACAGTCCAGATTTTTGCTTGAGTTTCTTTTCATGCTGTCCACGCGCTCAAAGCATGCCAAAGTGACTCAGCATGTCAGGAGAGGGGAAATTCCCCGCTCAAGGTAAGTCACTGGGAAAGAAGTTTGACTTTTGCCGTGGCTGAAATGTCGAACGCAATATCTATGGAATGCGGCATCGCAGCTCTTCGCCGATTGAATGGAAAGCTGGGCTCTTCGGCTTCTTCCTAGATACTTATTTTTTTCAATTCCGCCAAGAATCGATCGAGTTACGAATGTTTTTATAGTGTATGCATGTCCATCAATCTCTAGAGATCGATTCAAGTACGCACGGATGGTAAAGGGTTAAAAGGATATAACCAAGAAAAAGTGAATCGTTCTAAATTGAAATTAGCTACCTTGGCATCCCATATATGTCCCGTGCCGTTATGGACATCCCTTAGAGAATTTCATTTTCGTGTCCCATTTGTGTTCTGTACGACCGACCGCACACACACACCCCAGGGAGATATACATGTATAAGTATGGGAACATGGCAAGCACATTTAGGTACCAGGATTGAAAACTCTCTTGTTGTTGGGAGGACGAGGGGTTTATCGAGTTTTTTTGTGTGTGGATCTCTGTTTGCAGAAATAACCGACAGCTGTTCATTGGAGACCTGCGTGGACGAGTCTTCAACTGGAAGGGTATCATTGAGAAAAGTGAGTTTTGTATTCATTTACTTGTGTCGAAGAGGTAGTCTCTGTGATGACATGTCAATCAACAATACTTGGCCGGTGAGAAACTTTGGCCAATCTCAAAGTATCACTTTACCCGTCATCAAGGGTTGGCCATTTGGGGTTTTCTAAAAGGAAATTGATCCATGTTTTTGCATGCAGTCATGGCCCAAACTTGCATTATTTGGATTTGGTTTCAAGTTTTGTTTTTCAATTTTTCATTGGACATCAAGTAGCACTGGATTTCAACAAGGATAATGAGAGCAGTCAAATTGTTTGGCCAGAAATGAATAGGGAATGTAGACAAAATTGTGCTGGTGCGGGCGTGGGTGTGGGTGGGTGGCAAGGCATTGTTCACAGCTTCACGCGGCTGGTTTCCCACGGAAGACGATCGTGTACTGCAGTTGTTGCGTAAAGCAGGGTTTCTTGTCCATGCTTACTCATGTCTCCGTGTTCTGCTGTGTGTGCGTGTGTGTGTGTGTGTGCGTGTGTGCGTGCGTGTGTACGTGTGTGTGCATACATGACAGGCTCCCCGATAAAGCCCCCAGGCTTGGCCCTCACGTGCTACGGATGTAAGATACACCTACTGGACCAATCGCTCCGCACCTGTGCTGCCTGTCACATGTCCTTCTGCATCAGGTATAATTGACATAATCACCTACCCAAGACACCACCCTGTGAATGCATTATTTTACTGCACTGGAAATTAGTAGCTGCTGGAAACATGGCAACGTGGGGCAAGCGCTGCACCCTATCAGCTTCTTTAGCAGTCACTGAAACTGTAGAAAAGTCACCTTGTGGACGTTTAGTATGGCACTGATCACCCCCGGTCGTGTCTTGTCAGCCTGCTTCCTTTTTTCTTCTTTTTTTAATTTTTGATGTTTCGCCGTGACCGAAATGTCAAGGGCGGTATCTCTGGAATGTGGCATCATAGCCCTTTGGCAAGTTCTACATTGGAATGCTAAGCTCTGGCTGTTCTCCCTAGATGCTTTGGGTGTGTTATTCTGTCACAACTTGAATCAGTACAAAGGATTGAGTGCATGCAGCTTCACCAACTTCTCGACGTTGATTCAAATTCATGGTTTGGCTGAAGAACTAATCAAGTCTTTCCTTCATATGGCTGTTGGTCTTTTTGGATTTATGTCCTATTCAGCTGCTGCAATTTGGCCAGCGATATCGGCGATGTTTGCGAGAACTGCTGCATAATACAAGCCGAGGAGGATTACTTGTAAGACTGTTACATATCTATGTAGGCGCCTCGTGTCCAGTAGGCCAAGGAATGACTGTAGCAAGGGCTTGGTAGGTTGTTTCCCACGTGGATAACGCTGCAGCCATTTTTATTTCATTTTTATTGCTTGCTCGTGTCACAGGTTGGACAAAGGAAGTGTCTCTCCCCACCTGAACACACCCTGTACACTTACTTGTACATAAAACACAGTCTGCGCTTCTTTTTCCCGTTATTCTTTTTCACCTCCTCTCCCATAGTTCTTTTATGGCTTGTTCAACCCGTGTTATGTCTTCAGCTTCTTTTGGGCTGTTGGTCGTCGCTGTCAGCGGGAACATGCCGGCCCGATGTTATTATTTTCTTCCCACTCCTTTGCTTCCTTTTTCAGCTGACAACCTCTGTGCTGTTCATGAACATAGTACACAGGTGTTGGGTTGCTCATGTGCCAAGCCACCACGCTCGCTGGCTTGCAGCTACCCATGCCTCAGATGTGCTATCTCTCTCTCTCTCTCTCTCTCTCTCTCTCTCTCTCTCTCTCTCTCTCTCTCTCTCTCTCTCTCTCTCTCCCTCTCGTTCGTATGCTCGCAAATACTGTCATATTTTTATTCTTATCTGCATGGGCATGTATACGGAGTCACTTATGTATATTTTCATTGGCCGTTCTTACTTTCATTCCCTGAACACTTTACACTTTACCAGTTTCACACTGCCGAAATAATGCCTATTTATTACTGATATCTGAGCAAGACAGTATGATAATGATATATCCTATTTATTGTCGATATCGATGCCTTTGAGTTTTTGTTCTTGGCTGGAGAGAACATGGAGTAGTTACATACAGGAGAGAGTGAGCAGTGCTAGATTTACAGTCTTATTTATCTGCTGCTTTATCGCCGGTGTCATGCGCAAAAATGGCGACCGCCCTGATAATGTTACTAGTTTGTACACCCCTTTTCTTTCCTTTGCCACATTTCCGCATTTCTTACTTTGTGATGCTCAGCTGTGTACATAAGGATTCCGCCGCTCGTTGCTGCATACAGCTTCTAACCCTGCTTTCTCTCGCTTTAATGCTGAGCTGGCATGCACTGAACCCCGCCGTTGGCGAGCGTTGCCGCCAGCCGTCCAGGAGACTCTGAGAGTTTTCTGCTTTGTCTCACCCTTTACTTGAACTCAAATACACTACACACACTCGTGTGCTCGTGTGATGTCATCCTGCATATCTCATGGCCCGGACCGTTTGCAGAATACGCATTGTGAATGCGTGCACCTGTAGGACACCGCTGGAGAGGTGTGCGTCCTCCACGTTTTATGGAGGATGTGGCCATGGCAACTTGTTAAACCATGCAAACAGGGCATGTGAAAGTGTGTATGTCGACAATATGCAACGACGTCAAATCCACCTTATATGGGAGGTACAAGTAGCTGAGTGGCAAAATGCCCGTTCCTGGGGGTACTATGACGTCACAGGTCCTCCCTCGTTAGTAGATAATCTCTGGGCCATGAAAAAAGTTGTCTTGTAACGATACTTATCTTGTAACAGGACTTGCACCTAAGGCGAGATGGACGCTAATTCGTACTTACCTTGGCTACCCTCGATACAACATAAATTGTCGACGCTTCAACTCATTATAAGATAATTGAAAATCTCCAACATAGCTCTTCCTTGGATGCAAAAGATGGTCCATATCTACAACTATGTAGATACAATACAATAGTGCGTTTCAAAAGTCCAGACCTCTGGTTTCAAAAAACCGTTAGGCCAGCATCTATACCACATAAAATCTGTGATCACTTTGTGCATACAATTTTCGAAATTGGGGGTCTGTTATCCAATCGCTTGGAAAATTAAGGAAAAAAATTGCGTGAGCTGCCTGAGCAATATTCCGAAGAAATTTCTCATTTAAAGGGGAAGTTAAGGCTAAAATCAAAATTTCACCAGTTGTAGTCTTCGGGGTGCTGAGTCGAATGGTCTTGGTCCGAGGAAGCTGAGACGCTCCCTTCCTACTTTAATCCCAATCGAACTCGCGCACTTCCACTGAAACTGGGTGACTGCGCCCTACTAGATAGGAAGTTGTATGCAAAATGTCACTAAAAACGCCGTTTCGTTCTTTAATTAAAGCACGGATGACCGCGATTGGTCCATATGTTGTAGTCTTTTGGCCGCTGAGTCGACTGGTTTTGGTCCGAAAAGGCTGTGATACAGCGTTCGGCCCAGATTCCCAATCGAGCACGGTTGAGTAAGCGGGCATGTGCTCATGCGTACACCAGTCGCCTGGTCACCGTGCCTGCAGGCTACAATTTTCACACCAAGGTTCAACTAAAAAAACCACGTGACTGGTGTACGCATGAGCACGTGACCGCTTACTCAACCGTGTTCGATTGGGAATAAGGGCCGAACGCTGTATCACAGCCTTTTCGGACCAAAACCAGTCGACTCAACGGCCAAAAGACTACAACATATGGACCAATCGCTGTCATTCGTGCTTTCATAAGAACAAAACGGCGTTTTTATTGACTTTTTGCATACAAATCCTAATCTAGTAGGGTGCAGTCACCTAGGTATGGGCGGGTAATGCTAGTTATTTGCTGCGATAATGCTAAAGCCAATGCTCATAATATGAGGATATAATGCCACTTATAATGCTCACACTACTCCATAATGCCAGTTTGAAAGTTGGAAAAGTCGATTTAAGAAGGCCGTCTTGTATCAAGGTCAAAGCGTAGAAGAAAAAAAACTTAAACAGCAGTGAGCATGCTGCCTGAAACAATCCACTGAGAAGGTTGATTTGCAACGTCAAGTCTCCGGACGAAGCCGGACGGGTTCAGATGCACGATTTTCGGAACTGGACCTAGCCAGCTTCATGCATGACACCGTTGTCAACCGGCAATTAATCAATATAGTTTTTCGGCTGTTTCCTTTTCATGTATATAAACTTCTCCTTCTTTTTACCATGGTTGGCTATCACCCACATCTTCCCGATTTGGCTGCCATCGGAAGCCGTAAAATGTTGAATAAATAAATAAATAAATTATGCTTGTAATCATTTTGCATGCGAAATGGTGTTATAATACCAGCATTATGCCACCTGGAAAAAAGGGACTATAATGCCAGCCATAATGCTAGCATTACCTGCCCATATGCATACAGTCACCCAGTTTCGGTGGAAGTGCGCGAGTTCGATTGGGAATAAAGGAGGAAGGGAGCGTCTCAGCTTCCTCGGACCAAGACCATTCGACTCAGCACCCTGAAGACTACAACTGGTGAAAAATTGATTTTAGGGTATACTTCCGAATTAACGTTTGCAGATTTACGTAGTGCAAGTGTGATGACAGCCTAGCGCTCGTGCTGGGCCATACATGGGCAATCTAGCCCTACCATCACAGTCGACATGTACATGTAGATCTACAGTACTAGTTGCTCTACGCATACGGTATCAGGTACAAAGCGCTGAGTCTACGTAATACGTAAGGAGTTTTTGGTGATCATGTACTTTTTCTTCTTCTCTCTCTTTGTTTACCACGGCGACTCCGTGTGCTGTACTACTTTTTCTTTTTTCTTTTTTTCTCTTTTACGTTTACTTTATACCAGGCGTGGGCCATCCCCTGTACATAGGTGCCACCATTTTTCTTTGTTTCAATAAAAAGTATTTTCAACGTGGAAAAAAATCATTTTAGGGGCCATCCGTAAAGATAATAATTTTTGCACAGTCTGTATAATGTGTGGACACATGCAGTGACCATGCTGCACTAGGCACCGTTCTCAGGGAGCTCGAGGGGTCGACAATGGTGGAGGGTGGTCGAAGAGAAATGACTAGTTTTCGTCAGGGAGTCGTAAAAGCCAGACTCCCTGGGTTTCGTTTCTATAAAAATTTAATATCGGTATTTTCGAATGGCCCCTGGCTAGGCCTTGACCGATTATGCTAATATTTTCGTGAAATTATGCTTTTCGCATTGCTGAAAAAATTGCAGAATTATGCTATTTTTATGCTAAAAGTTATCATTATTATTAGGCCTTGACGGATTATGCTAGCATAATTTTTCGCATAATTCCTACCAAAATCGAATAATCGCATAATTCGAGACAAATTGCATACGAATCGCATAAAATTGGAATAATCCGCCTGTTTGCATCAAATTCCATACAGTTGTACATGTTCTACCAGTACAAGTACAAGTAGATGCACCAGGGAGTCGTAGGCTTACGACTCCCTTGATAACATTTATTTATTTTATTTATTTATTTCTGCACATGTCCAGTCCACTACAATCAGTGACAGTCGTAGCTAGGTCGGACGGTGCGTTGACCCCGTTGAACTTTTGCTACTACAGTACAGCGCCCTGTACAAAAAAATTCCCCTGTTATTTTGCACAGAACCATTATACATTAGCAGCATATGTGAGCATAATGCGGCATAATATGATAACTTTTAGCATAAAAATAGCATAATTCTGCAATTTTTTCAGCAATGCGAAAAGCATAATTTCACGAAAATATTAGCATAATCTGTCAAGGCCTAATTATTATGCCGCATTATGCTCACATATGCTGCTAATGTACATGTATAATGGTTCTGTGCAAAATAACAGGGGAATTTTTTTGTAGAGGGCGTTGTACTGTATACATGTAGTAGCAAATGTTCAACGGGGTCAACGCCCCGTCCGACCTAGTTACGGACGTCACCTGGTCACTGATTGTAGTGGACTGGGCATGTTATCAAGGGAGTCGTAAACCTACGACTTCCTGGTGCATCTACTTGTACTTGTAGAAGATGATTGTACAACTGTATGGAATTTGATGCGGACAGGCGGATTATTCCAATTTTATGCGATTCGTATGCAATTTGCCTCGAATTATGCGATTATTCGATTTTGGTAGGAATTATGCGCAAAATTATGCTAGCATAATCTGTCAAGGCCTAGTATAGCCTACCCCTGGCCCTATGCCCTACTACGATTGACTACTGCTTGACTTGAGAACGGCCCTATTGTACTACTTACTAGTACTACTACTTCAAGTACATGTACTAGTATAGTACACCCAGTTTGTTATCAAAATAAAGTCAACGTTCTCAGTAGTATACGTATCTCATATTGACTGAGTACGAGGTCAGTATAGGAAATAAAAGCCGAGTAAAAGACCGAGGCGAAGCCGAGGTCTTTTACGAGGTTTTTATTTCCTATACTGACCAATTACCGGCCAAGTACGAAGTCAATATTAGATTTATCACGACAAACAGTCCGTATTTCAAATTCCAGAACGATAACCTCATGAATCCCGGTTTTATGATTGCACAACCGTTGCACCACCACCTACTCATGCAGTGACCATGCTGCACTAGGCACCGTTCAACTGCGCAACCCCAAGCAGTCAAATAAGCAGTCAATAATTATAGCCCTAAGGAGTGAAATATGCAGGAATATTTGACTGCTTAGGTATGGCAAAAATCTATGTGAGTCAATACTAAGGGAGTGATGATGTATTTACTATAGTACTGCAGAAGGCCCCCGTTTTCACAGTACGATATTCGCGATCGAGTCATGGTCAACAGCTAGCTACACACTAACCATGCTAACAGCAGCAGTTTTCTATGTGACCTGTCACCTTCACAATCATGTCAGTGGAGGCATCACCATGATCACGCCATGCTGTTGAAACAACCGTGACATAGGTCATATGCATAGCCAACTGCAGCTAGCATAGCTAATCATCTGCCATGATCTGGCCACTCTGCCTAGGCAAAACAGACAGTGCTAGTGACTCGTGAGTGAGCTCGGTAGCACCGCAGTTTGTACAAATCGATCAGTGGAAGTGCGATGTTGAAGTGATGTCTTCTCGCAGCCGGCTGGAAACAAGTCGGGCAGGTCTGCAGATGTAGAACTTTTCACGATCACTTTAAAGTCTTTGGAGTTGTTCCACCACTCACGTCCGTAACAGGTACTTTTCCCAAATCGATCGCGTTGCTTTCTTTGCACTGTCAGTCTAGTAAGGACGAAGTCACGTTTGATCTGGAAGCCTAGGTCGTGGTGTGCAAGAGCGGATCGCTACCTACTGCGCGCTGGGATTGGATAGAAAAATATTACCGTTGCCCAACTCAGCTCCGGTAGGGGGCAATTGGAGGGAATTCTACTGCAAGATCAAGGCGTAGCGGAGCGTTGGCACTAGCTCGCAGATAGCTTAGCGATTGCTTCTGGAAGCCACTCTCGTAAAAAAAATTCCAAAGGCTTCATCACAACGCTTGGCACTGGCGATGACCTCCCAGAGTAGTGATGGTGTGGTGCGGCGCAGCATAGGTGACACGGTCGCAACGCAAGCGACATCCTCGCCCAACGTGGACGACAATGCGGCGTCCACTGCTCCTGCAGTGGGTGCGAAGACGGAGTTGAAAGAGGCGTATACGCAAGGTATGTTCGCACATACATGTACATGCGGAGAATACAGCACACAGGTACTCCGTACTCCCTGGATGACGACTTTACGATTAGCGGGGTGGGGCTTTATTGTTTTAGAAAGGAGTTTTTTTCTTCAGCTTTAAATACTGTCATGGCAAGCGAAATCTGACACTTCTAAGTACAGTCGACCTACCCTTATAACGATATTTGCGTCAGACCAAGAAATATTATTGTTACCGGTATAAGGGTAATATTGTATATATAGGGGCAACTGGTTCATTTCATACACATGCGTCATAATGCATGGATTTGTTCATTTTTTACACTCTTCATAGTGCTGGTTGTGTGCAGGAGGGTCTAGTCGGCTAAAGAGCGCAGCAACATTTTCTTCAATGGCCGAGACCTCTGTCGCACCCTGGAGTAAGAAAAATATCGTTATACGGGTAATCTCGTTGTAGAGGTTATCGTTATAAGAGTAGGTCGACTGTACTTGTCATATGGGATCGGGGACATCACCAATAATACAGTGCTGCCAACCTCCGTACTTTTCCGTATTTGTCCGGAAAATCACTCCTTCGTCGGCAGTATGGAATTTGAGCAAAATGGTACGGAAAATTGAAGAGGATCGATCAGTTACCGATATGTACGTAGAAGCATAGCAAGCGCAAGCTGAGCGATGAATAACCCTGTTCCAAAATGAGTGCATACCATGCTTCGACTGCATGTAACACAGCGTATCATGTTGTGGTACAAGTCACACATGTTTTGCACTAGCAAATCCAGTCACCGACAAGCATGTGGGTGTCAAAAAAGCACAATACAGGCAATGCACACGGCAGTACATTGGTAGTACGGAAAAACACTGCAAAATACGGATAATCAGAAGTCACAGTACGCAAAACAGACCCAGTTGGTTGGCAGCACTGCACCATGCAGTGTGCAGCCCCTACAGCCCTGCACACGTAGAGTATTGTGTTACATACAATCAAGAGTACATACCCCCCCCCCCCCCCCCCCCCCCCCCCCCCCAGAGTGTGCAATGCCTGATCCAGCTCTGCATACGGTATTGGTCGAGCATAGTCGGATCTTCTGATGTCATGCGTACTCTTCACAAAAGCGCAAGGCAGGGCACCGTTGTTTTTGATCCGAGAGTACCCGTGACTCCCCGGGTTCCCCTCAGATGCGTACGGTATTATGACGCAAAGACTGGATACCAATACTCCTTATGTGTACAAGTACGATGACTGTGAACTGTGTGTATCTATGCTGTGACCTTTCGACCTGTCTGGGATGCATACGGCTCTATTGTACAAATTTTAGTACGGTGCATTACATCATTGATGTCCGTTTGTGGCGCTGTCCCCTATGGCACGTGTCGGATTTCGCTTGCCACGACTGTACATGCATCTGTATACAGCAATGTGATCAACTACATACGTACTGTTAAACTTCTACACATGCAGGTCAACACTCCCCACAACCTAATCTAGAGGACCACACAAAAAATGCCTTATGTGATAGATACGTTGTAGAGAAAATAATCATGACTGTATGGAGCTTTTTCAAGGACGCGACAGCGTGCCCGTCACGTCAGCGGCACTCGCCCCGAGATTGTGGTGAACAGGTCTCACATTGAAAAGTATATGAAATGTGAAAGGTTCGTCTGCACCAGCGATTCTGCTTCAAGTGTTCTTTTTCGCCCGAGCCATGGAAGGGCTTCCTAGCAGCTGCTCTAAGTCAACACGAGTGTCGGACATCAAGTTCAGCATTATCCTAGTGCTTCTTTCGCCTCCACGCGTCCACTCCCGCACAAACTCAATGTAACCCGGGCTTCGCCTGTTCACCAGTGATTCTAATTTCCTCGCATGTGATCCCAAAAAGTGACTGTTGGTCTGTCCTTGAAAAAGCTCTATACTGCAATGCAATAATAAACAAAATTCTGAATTGTCATCCCCATTCCCCTAACACATGGCATTTTGAAGTAACGAAAACCAGGAAGCAACGACCTAGTTCCAATGCCACACTTTACATGGTACAAAACGATCAGAATGCATGCACCATGAAGTACCGTTGTGTATGTATGTATGTGTATGTGCATGTGTGTGTGTGTGTGTGTGTGTGTGTGTGTGTGTACCTGTGCATGCGTGTTTTGCGTACCGGAATCTGTTTCGTTCGGTTCCCATAGGGAAGCGAAACTTCGAAATTGTTAGCCTCTCGTCGTTTCTGCTTCTTAAGGCGGTCGTCTTGTGCTATCTTGGTTATCATTGGAGAATGGCTAACCCTATCTGGGTCCTGACATACATGCGTAAGTTATGCTGTTCCGATTAACAATATTAGTTTTGCCACTAGCACATCATCCCAACGTTGCTAAGGTTTGAATCGGTTCATGAACGTTTGTCGGTTGAGACTTTTATGTGAATCTACATGGCTGATCGTCACAATAGTTGAGATCACTATCGTCATATTCAGGATGCATTGAAGCTGTTGTCACACTGTATGCCATGCACAGTGAATGCATTCAGTCGTCTTCAAAAGATGTCACGGATCAATACTGTAATACCGTAAAAGTCCGTATTTACTTTCGAATTTAGTGACCTCACCCGTACTAACTTTCGGGCGGGTACTGACTTTCGGGCACGAACCAACTTTCGGATCTGACTTGTGTGTAGTGGAGAAGTCGTTTTCATGTCGATGTACATGCTACGTGCTGCATGTGCGCACCGCACCGGTACTTATTTCGGGCAGTATGTTTATCGGGCTTGACTTGACTTCAACAGACAGAGCCAAAAGAATGAAGGGGGTATTTCTTTCAGGCAGGTACTTATTTACGGACTTTTACGGTACTGCTGCGTGCTCTTGCGCGCGCGCGCGTGCGTGCGTGTGTGTGTGCGTGCGTGTGTGTGTGTGTGTGTGTGTGTGTGTGTGTGTGTGTGTGTGCTTGTGTGTGTGTGTGTGTGTGCGTGCGCACGTGTGTGTGTGTGTGTGTAAAATGAAAAATAAGGATTCACTGGCCAGAAAAAGTCACTTCAAACAGCTGTGTGGTGGATACCGGGCTAAAAATAGTGGCGGTCAATTCATCAGCCTTGCAAGCTGTTGAATGGTGTAATCCCAGCACAAGTTGCTATGTCTAACATAGCTGTTCGCTATCATCGCTCCCGCGATGGGCATGTCTGAGGTCTGAGGTGTGTGTGTGTGTGTGTGTATGTGTTTACTTGGCTGTTAGATGAGTGTAAGAGAAACAATGTACTTGGTATTTGTTTGTTGAATGTTCACTTCACTTTAGTGTGACCTGTAACACGGTGTGTGCGGCTGCTCCTCTTTTGCAGTTGGTGGCATCCTGGCGGCTGACTTCCTCAGCGGTGTCGTACACTGGCTCTGTGACTCCTATGGGTCTGTCAACATGCCCGTATTTGGAAAGGTAATGCTTTGCGAAAGGATAAGGCCGGCATTCTTTTTAAAAGAAGTGCATTTTTTTCTGAGAGAATTCAGAACAAAATTCAGAAAATTTCGAGAATCTGCGACAAACCGGAAAAGTGCTGGTTTAGGACTTGTACCTTGAAAATTACCAAATAGGCTCTCTAAACTCTCCCAACTTCGGAGGCGGTAGAAACGTTATGCGGGTATCTTAAAAGATACCCGCATTTATGGGCCGAGACATGCAGGCGACCATTCCGAAAACTCTCTCTCTCTCTCTCTCTCTCTCTCTCCCTGTGTAAGCTGAAAGGATGGTGAAACTCTGGTATCCTTTCTGAGGGGTCCGTCGACAGTGAAAACTCACATCACATGGTGTACACTCCTGGCCAATTTCAAAGTTAGCGAGCAGTGGCGTAGAAAAAACAGCTTTCCCCTGACAGAAACCTACTCAGCTTATGAAATTCAGCAGCATGATCACGTCCGATATTCGGACTGCGCGCACTCTGGCCTTCCTTGTACGGAATACAGAGTGTACCTGAAACGCGTGATGTGAGTTTTCGCCTTCTGAAACCCCGTATGCACAGTTTCACACTCTTGGGAGATTATTTCTCTCTTAGTCAGGTGCATAGTTGCACATCATGTATTGAGCATGTTAGCAGCTGTTTGAAACTCTGTTGTCATGGTTTCGACCCCCTCCCTGCCCTTCCTTGTGTTGTCCGTAGGCATTCATCCGCTCGTTCCGAGAGCACCATGTTGACCCAACGGCCATTACGCGTCATGACGTCATTGAGTGCAACGCGGACAGCTGCATGACCATGGTGCCAGTACTCGGCTTCATGTGCTATAACTTTGCGCTGTACGACGATGACATCATCCAGCCGCGCTACCACCTGTTCGTCCTGCTGAGCTGGCTGGCGTTCTTCGTGGCGTTCACCAACCAGTTTCACAAGTGGTCGCACACCTACGGCGAAGTGCCCAAGTGGGTGGAAGTCCTGCAGGTGAGTGGGGTGTCTACAGGTAGTCCATGGACGCTATCCACTAGTGGTGGGGGTCCGGGGAGGGTGTGTGCGGGGGAGAGGGCGGGGGGGGGGGGGGGGGATTTCTTCAGATTGAACTCATGGATGCTATCCACTAGTGATGGGGTTGGGGGAGGGTTGGGGAGGGGGGGGGGTAATGTCTGGGAGCTGGGCTTGCTCGCTAGTGACACATCGCTCTACGCATATCTTTAGGTGTGTTGTAGACACGCTATCATGGCGGCTTTCACCGATGAAACCTTTAGCTTAACCTTTGTGTTAGTGAAGACAGCAGCAGCGGCAGTGGTTCTGGTATTTCTACAGGTCTGCAGCATAGGAGCAGTACAACACATGACATGGGTATGCGAGTGTTGCCCAGTCCACAGGATATCACACCTAGGAGGCATGCACACAATATGAACCCCTTGATCAGCAGCAGAGTGCGTGTTTGACTATAGTACAAACCAATAGACTGATTGGGCATGATGATGATGACAGCATAGCACACGGAGGAGTATCAAGCAAGGCTTACATACACTTTTAGACTGTGATCAGACAATAGGGCTTGAAAGTGCTAAACGTCATCCACGTCAGGCGAAATTACTGGTCAGTCGGCGACACGCATTTTTCACAAAAATTTGCGTTTCACCGGCTGGGAGAGTATGCGTGTACTCGAGTCTCATCCTGAGCACGTTTTTTCTTCTTTTTTTCAGCTCCAGTTTAGCTGTATTTTTCATTGCAAAGCCGTCCTCGATTGTTGTGTTCGTTGTTCAAACGAAGTGGACATCCAATCATGAAGGCAGAGGACATAGGAGCCTGATTGGAGTTTCTCGTGGCATAGGACGGCCACACAGAGACACTTTGGGATTTTCTGAATATAAAATACCGTACGCACGATGCTGAGATCAATTTGTGCGATATCAAATTGTTTGTGATCTACCACATCGAGCAGAACGGGATCCAGACACAAGCTTACCGACGGTTAGGCTGCCGACCTGACTGGCTGGACAAATGATCCCTGGCTTCACCATACGCCAGAAGTCGGACACCATGTCCTTTGCCGCGACGTCCATCTCCAAAAAGAACTCCATCTTCGTCGTGAAAAGGCTTGAAATACTCAATATTCAACCGAGATTCGCGGTCTCACCCTTTCTCAGATCGAATCATTTTTTGTTGTAGCAGTTGCAGGGCAGATCCCCGCCACTACTTCAACAGAAGATGGCTCCAAAGCATGCCTGGAACAAGCCATATCGAGGTTGCAAGGCACCCCTCTCAGCACTTTTTTTGAAGAAATTCGAAATTTCAATGGTGGAAGATGTACTATGAAGAGAATTTCAAAAAGTATGTTTCGCGGAGCGATCGCTCAACCTACGTCATTCAAACTTTGCAGGATGGTTCAGACGTACATGCTAGGCATGGAACCACAGAAGATGATATCATAGCTGACACACAGAGTCACACACACAGCAGATTCGTGTGCACAGATACTATATTAGTGGACGTCGTCATCTTCTTCCCGCTGATCTCAAATGTACTATGACGTGCTATTTCGCCTGACGGTCCGGAGTGATGGCAACTCTAACTGTAGTTTTGGATCTATTTCGATTCAGTTGTTGTATGGATACATACACGTTGGGGTGGTTCAAGTTCCCTTTACATCAGGGTGACACATCAACCTGTAGTGACTGGACTCTGCCCTCCCGGTCAGGGACTCACTCCTGCTACAGACATATTCACACCGGCGTGCGCCACGAGGGGCCTACCCCACCACACACTGTACTTCGCTATGGGCAGAGCGGATCCAGAAGTCGCAAGTTGTCTTCACATGACTTCTGACTTCACTTTCAAGACCTGCTCTGAAATCGAACTCCATGGGCAGACTAAGGGAGATGGGAAGGAATGCGGCTTGTTAGCCTGGTTTATCGTCACATGCCATACTTGCTCTGTTGTAAGAGAAGCCGAGCTCCATTGCTGGCACAGTTTCTAGTAAAAGTGCCCGGCTGGTCCAATACACTTTGAAATATTCCTACGGATATCGTAGCAAAGTCTCTATATCTTAAACTCAGGGCTTGCAATTGGAGTGATCTGGGAAAATACTACCCTTTGCCATGTCACAATTAGAATTATGGGGAACTGATTGTGAACAATTTTGAACCGATATGCAAAACCACCAGAAGGCCCACTCCACTCTTCACTCCGGAGAGGCAAAATGTGACTTTTTCTCCACTACAAGTGTCTGTCTGGGCATGCTGTGTGGGTCACGTTGAAATTTTAGAAGCACGCATACACGCTCCAACACAAGTACGACCTTCATTACGAGCTCATGGTAGATGGGTGTTGCAAAGGGTATAAGCACGACGCCTATTTATTATGGCATGCTCTCTTGCTGTCTCTCATGTGTCATTTCTAATTCTCAGGATTATCACGTGATCTTGCCGAAGAAGCACCACAAGGTGCACCACGTGGCGCCGCACGCCACATACTTCTGTATCACCACCGGCTGGCTGAACCACCCGCTGGAGTACATTGGTTTCTGGACGGCCATCGAGGCTGGTATTCAGTTGACCACTGGATACCGTGCCCGGGAGGACGACCTATCATGGGCTAGCAAGCCAAAGTAATGCCTAGCGCAAGATGTGCTCCGTTTAACCAAAAGACCAAATGGCCCGTGCTGTGCTATTTTGCTGTTGTAACTGTTAAAAAAGTACTTATTCATCATTTTGACGACTGCCTGTGGGTATGCGAACGAGTATTTATTTGCGTGAACAATGTTTGCCTGTGTTTGTTAGAGCTAGAGCGGTACCTGTGCATGGGGCAACCCATCCGTCAACGGTTGTCCACAAAAGTAAGTTGCAGATAGATCTGATGCAGAAAATTTCCAACAGCTGCTGAAGCAGTGCTCAGTATGCTGAAGTTAGGTCCTTTGAGTAGATCTTGTATCTCGCATGTTTGGCTCATCTTCCAAACATGTCGCTGTGTGCCTGACCGGACTGTCGCTTCTTGAATTCATATTTTCTTTTCGAGTACAATAGTATAGTGCTTGGTATGTCCGGTCATGCTGTTTGTCAAGATAGTGCTGTTGGTTTCGCATCACAGCGTTTCGTATTTTTCAAATTATAGAATACCCTTCCCAAAGTGAAATAGCTTTGGTTTGACGATATTGCTAAGAGAATTGAATATCTATTGGAGGGTTGTGAAGTTCACTTGCTATTCTGAAATTTCTAAATCACTATTTTTAGCTCGTACATCATACAGAGTACGGTTGTTTAGAGTAATAATATTATTCCCGTAGCTATGCAGAAGACGTTACTTCAGTAACGTCTGGCGCTAGCCAGGGTCCACACAGCTTTAATTTGGTATTTGTGTGTTTGTTTGTGTGTTTGTGTCACGCCTGGCGCTATCCCGTATTTGCCCCGTACCGTACCGTACCATCAAACACAGCTGGCCACATACAGCTGGCCGCAATATTCGAATAGGGCTTTCAAACGCAAGATCATAACGTGAAGCAACTTGGAAGAATAGGTATGAATGCGAAGTGTATGGGGGAATGCATGTAGGGCGATAGTGCGGGTTCGAATCCCAGGATATGCCTGAAAAAAAAAAATAGGAGAATTGAAAAATTTATAACATCCCTATGCTTTTTTTGCCGTCATCAAGGCGGTAGACGGTGTCGTATTACCCTCAATCGTACCTGTCCCGTACCTATCCCGTACCGTACCATCAAAGACGGCTGGCCACAATGCATATTCAAATAGGGCTTTCAAATGCAAGATCATAACGTGAAGCAACTTGGAAGAATTAGTATGTATGCGAAGTGTATCGGGGGATGCATGTAGGGCGCGCGATAGTGCGGGTTCGAATCCCAGGTTATGTCTTAAAAAAAGGAGTATTTTTAAGAATAGGTCATCAAGGCAAAAAAGCATAGCGTAGGGCCCTGAGCTTCCAAGCTCTCTCGTTATCTCGGACCTACTTGTACTACATCACGTATTTGGTGTTATGTGTCTTACTCGTCTTAATACCCATTTTTTAGTCGTCTTGTGTCTCCACGTGTGCTTTTAAAATTATTTGTTGCAAGGAGTATCTTCTTTTTCCATGGTTAATATGATAATAATTACTATAGGCCACTCTAAGATTCTATGTCATGGGGGGGGGGGGGGGGGGTGGGGGCTAGGGCGACGACTATACAATGATGTACTAATACCTATAGGAGCGCTAGTACATGTACTAGATAGATGTGAACACTCTAAGCAGTGACCTGTATACTCAGAGTTGCTAGCTTACAACGCATGTGCGCGATTGTCTAGGAGTAAAGCAAAGGCGTTGCGTGCATGGTGGTGAGAGTGTTGTGTGTATGCTTGTCACAGAAAAACAAAAATGTTGAAAACTTAGACCATGGAGTGTTAGTTCTGAGGGTGAGAGTGTGTGCATTGCTACCCACACGGGCGGCAGAACTATAGCAACGGTTTTGGCCAGTACATGTGTGTCCTATGCAGGCAGCTATGCCAAGTCTGTCTGTGTTGATTAGTGCCACACTGACGAGTAGCTCACACTGTGGAAAATACCGGTAGTTCTGCTTGTGTGCTAGAACCTACTAACACGTACTGGTTGGGCGCAGCGCATGCAGCAGCAGCACTACATTACCACTAGCGTATCACGGCTCCACTTCGCAGCGCTGCTTTACCACTAACGCATCACGGCTCCACTTCGCAGCACTGCATTGCCACTATAGTGCATCACGGCTCCACTTCCCATGGCCACCCACCATTGCTACTCGGAAGTCCAATGGCATGGTTGTGCATCTGTATAGCATGATACATGACTTCATCCTCTGTCAGTCGGGACCGTTCTGGGGGGCCTGTGCTTGGGGAACACACGGGCAGCTCGTGTGGTCCGGGTGGCGATGGTGGGACATTGTCAGGTGAATCTGGTGGTGACTGAGTATTCATGATCTCGGCATGAGCTGTGCGATGGCTTGCACAGCTCTGTACAGAGTGATTAGCAGGATCCCGATCATGATGGTGAGTGTGTAGCAGTGGTGATCTGCTGCGGTCGGAGTCACTGCTCACCGGCAGAGTGGGAATGCTGACTACTGGGTTGTCGGCTCTGTGTCTCACCACACCTAGCTCGGGTGCTTTTACTGAAATGTGCACTCCCGTGGTTGCTTGATTGTTGTCACTGGTAGATGGCGGTGTGAGTGGAAACCAATTGGCATCATCCCACAAATCCTCACTGTTGAATCCATCATCATATTCTTTTAGCTTGGCCTCTTGTGGTGCTGTGGCCATCTCTTCTGGGACGTTTGCGATCGTCTGCTCTGGCGCTGGAGACTTGGTTGGCGAGTTCTCTACCCTGGGTTCCTGGTTGGCCTCCTCTTCTGTTTCCTCCTCCTCCTCGCTGCTCTCACGTTTCTTCTTCCATGTGTCGATATCCTCGCCATTGTACATTGCTATCAACTCCTGGGATGAGTAGTCCACGCATTCGTCTGGGTCAATGTTGAGCAGCTTGGCAAGATCCTTTTCTTCATCCTCGTCCTCCTCTTCAGCATGCGAGTCACTATCGGAATCCCATGTGTGCCGCCGCCGACGTTGCCTGTAGCGCTTTATGTAATCTGCGTTTGCAATAGAAGAGATAGAATGGAGGAAGGGGGGGGGGGGGGGGAGATGTCAAGAATAATAAAGACTGGCTTCAAAGCAGTGAGGCGACCCTAGCTCCGACAAATGATTTTCTAACGGAATTCAGAGCTCATACAAAAGTCACATTGCCCTTTTTCAAAGGTACGGGGGCGGCAGTTGCAGTGCCTTATGGTGGGGTGAGGGGACCCCAATGTGCAATGGAAGGTCCTGTCAGAACCTTGATGTAACGTACTTCGGCATGCAGGGAATGGAAGCAAATGTCCGGTATCCGAGTACATTGCATGCAGGGTTGGTCGCACGAGCCTCCAACCCGGCTCAGTTTATACACCCAACATGCCAAACGGATAAAAAAATAATCATTTTCGAGGATAAGCGTACAGCGTACCATGTATCGCGGTACATTCCGGCAGGGCAGTGGTGGAGCCGTCACAGCTCCACTCACACGTCAGTTCATCCCATGCTGCTATCCGAGGCCATCCTCAGCGGGACCACCAAAACGATAGGTACAGTGCTTCAAGTTTGTTTTTCCACGGTCCATTGTAACAGCAGTAACAGCGCCTATTATTTGTAGTCTTATGGAGGGAAAGTCGGTGCCATGGAAGGTGTATGTACTACAGTAATAGCCATCCTGGCAGCTTATCTGATTTTCACTGCACATCTCATATAAGTAGTGGTTGCGACTTCGGCGATGATTTGTAAGAAACGGAGCGTCTCTGTAAGTTTGTATCCCTGGTGATGTTTGTGCCTGGAGAGCACTATATAAGTGGTGCTCTTCAGGCACAATCTTCCTCAGCCTACTCAAGCTCAACTGATGAGGGGTGAATTCCCCGAAACACTGTGTATTGAGCAGGGAGTGGTGCTTTCTTGCAGGTTTGCCGAGTCGAAGGTTCGATGGACTTCTCGTGTGCTCTGGCTGGCAGTCGTGAGTCAGTCAAGTGTCAAGTAAAGTCGGCGGAATAGCGCGAGCTCCGGTGTGGGGAGCAAACCATTTCTTACATCTCATATACTTAGAAGAAATTTACATTGTTATTGTCTTTTTTCATTAGTTTGAGGGAAAGATGCAACTGTCTTTTCCCTACACAGCAGAAATAATGTGAGGGACTTACGTTCTTTGACAGTCCCTCTCATCATTTCGAGAAGCGTGTCACTAGGTGTCCTGGCGCTGGGCATCTGCCCAGTTTGGGCCGCAACCGATCCGTTCTTCTGCTGGGCATGTTGCTGCTTGTGAAGACTGCTTGACTGCCTGCTGGCAAGAGAAGACCTGCTGTTTGCTATACTTTGTGGGATTCCAGTGCTGGCTGGTGGCCCTTTCGCCACATTTTCCTTCCGTTGCCCCGCCGCTTCTTGATATTTCTGGGCGAACCATGGCCTGCTTGAGGTTGTGGATTGCATTCTCTGTGCTACATCATTGTAGTGGGTTGGATTTGATCTGGCTGTCGATTTATGGCCTGTTGAATCCTCCATCATTTTGAACAGTTTGGACTGTTTCTGCTGCCTGTTCTCTGTGCAAGGAAAACCAGAACCACATTGAACTCGGATGGTGAGCCAGTTTAATTATGTAAAAAAAAAGGAGAAGGACAAACTGCGACGAGTTATGGCTAAATGTCCGCCAACGTAACCAGATCATATACAGTCATGCAGCGAGTGCGACAAAATGGCACAAAACTATAATGATCTATATGCATATGATCTGGTTTCGTTGGTGGACAGTTAGTCATAACTCGTAACATTTTGTCCTCCTCCTTTTTTACCATAGAACAACATTAATTCACAGAAAAAGCCAACTCATCATGATGTAGAATTTGCTACAGAAACACTCATCTATTCTCCCCCCCCCCCTCCACACACACACAGACGACACACACACACATATGTACGTGCGTGCACACATACACACACACACGCACACACACACACACACACACACACACACACACACACACACACACACACACACACACACACACACACACACACACACATATATACACGTACAAGTGCATGCATCTCTAGTTTCGGAGGTACGATGCATTAGCAACAGCTCGTTTCCTATTTATTCAACATCCTTTGCTATGCTATTTTAAAAGCTGTCAGTGCATGAACTCTGGTCATGTGGCACTCGCCCTACTCCCTATGGCTAATAAAGCAACTCTTCTGTCATCGCTGGCTCGCAGTCAGTTTCACAAACAGCTTGAAACACATCTATTGCGATGCAGCTATCTTCAACTGAGAAAGAAACAGACGTCAACTCCACTATTTACAAGGAGCCCATTGCTCATTACCAGAGCATCCTGTAACGGAATCACAGCCATTCCGTTCCCCGGGACGCAGGACACAAAGTACAAGACTACGTAGTTTGTTTACATTGTTATATTGACATGACGGAAACCAAGGACTACGACATGACGGAAAAGCAGACTACACTCAAAGACCCGAACAAGAAGACTGACAAAGGACTCTCGACTACAACATCGCGCATGCTCATATCACACATACACGCGACTAGACGAAGACTGTTTGAGGACTGTCATCACACAGGAAAACAACACAATCATTAATGTTAACAACACCCATACAAACAAGGTGGGCATTGTTTTAACATTTTATAATTTCTGCATTGCCCTATAAAATAAGCTTGTGGAACTGTAGCTGACATACTTACTTGCGCGTTGCACTTTCAGCGCCATCTTCTTGTAATGCTCCAGCTGTGCTTCATGGTCGTATGGTCTCCTGCTGGGTGTCTCTCCACTCCAAACTGGCTGTCCATTTGCTGATGGTAAGTGCCCTGCTGGTCTTTGGTGTAATGCTGGTGTTCCCGAAGACTGGCCGTGACCAGAAGTGGACGGCAGCGATGACCCGTGAGAAGTTCTCCTAGTTGCACTGGACTGTGGGCGGACATCGTCTTTGGCAAATAGTAGCCTGGACATAGCGCTCGTTCTCATGGAAGACTGTAGATTATGACGCGTGGCAGAGTCGGAGTTTCTCAAGAGTCGATCCTGTCTGCAGTCAACGCATTGGCAAAGTTAATAGGATATGTGGAACTCACATGGTATGTATCCGGGTAAGAGAGAATGTACCCAGGTAAGAGAGAATGTACCCGGGTAAGAGAGAATGTACCCGGGTAAGAGAGAATGTACCCGGGTAAGAGAGAATGTACCCGGGTAAGAGAGAATGTACCCGGGTAAGATGCACGTCTGGTTAGCATGATCATTTTTTGACTCTAGGATTTCCTAGGATTTCCAAGGATTTCCTAGGATTTCCTACCATGATTATAGCGCATGTGCACAGATGCGATGCAATTTGATAGGACGTACAACTCGTGTATAACGGAATTCTCAGCATGTCTCCATAGAACCGACCTCATGTACTACATACCTTTGGTGTTTTGTACACCTTTACAGATGACAGGTACGTTTATGTTGACAGCGAGGAGGTGTAGGCTGTATGGGGCGCAGGAAACCGGGTTTGATGATACTAGCCATGTACATTTCTGAGCGCAATACATAGTTCCGAGCATTTTGACATACAGCACATGTGTGGCTTATTGGTTGGGCCCCGGGACTCAACTTTGCTTAGGAAGGATAGTATGTCCTTTTTTCCATTCCGGAAGGGGGTATGTCTCGTCATATTTCCTCTGTTTTGGCGGAATCAAGCACTGTGTGGCTTTGGTGAAGCTGTCAGAGTTATGTTTGAAGCTTTGAAACTGGGCGACTGCATGTGTATCTGTGTACCTCAGCATCAGCAAGTTGTTGGCATGGGTCTGAGAGGGTATTCCGTTTAGCAAAAAAAAAGCACACCCTGGAATATTTAGTTTGGGGTCACTTTCAGTTATGGGTGTTTTGCATGGAACGACTGGATGCACGGCACTTTGCAGTTTTATTCAGCTTTACAGTCATACTATTCATAAAATGTGTTCTGTCATATCCGGTACCAATGTACCCAGAGTCTTCAAGCGCAAAACACCACTTTCCCCGTGCAAGACATGGACGTACAGCGGTACGGAGGGGGGGGGGGGGGGGGGGGGGGGATCTTGAGCCACTATCATGAGTGGCAACATCCTACTTGCATGTCTCGGATACATGTACTGTCGCGGACATGGAAATCCGGTCGATTGATCGGGGCCGGCGCCCACAGCGCGTACAGAATGATGCCGTGCAGGGCACATGTTGATCCGATGCGACCAGCGCGCTGCAGCGCATAAAATGCATGTGTGTACCGCTTACCCACGGCTGCATGGCCAGCACCCTGGGACCGCTAGACGTGCGACCGGATTTCCATGTCCACAACAGTAGATAACAGTGACAGACAATGCACGCAGTGTTCATGCACTCAACCACTTCACAAATCAAAATATTCCTTTATCGCTTACATGGCCGTCTGCAACGGCGTCTCTTCGGGACGAATCCTCGCAGTACCACGCGGAGTTCTGTAGCCACAATGCACGATAGAGATGTTACAAACCACTGTGACTGTGGCCATTTCGTTGAAGGGTAAACGGTTGAATATTCATCACTTACTGAAATACAGCGACTAGCTATCTAAATACTTACTCCATGAAAAGGTTGAAGCCTGAGCTTTTCCTGCTCGCTGCCCGATTTTCCTCTCCTCTTTTTCCTCCTTGAGATCTGTTGAACATGGCGAATTTTCTGAGATTTCCTTCCGGGTTGTTTTCTAGCAAACTTCCTCTTGACTCTCACTGTTCACCTCAGTTGACGAAACTTCCATCCAAGCACACGACTTTGCAATCCGCAAGAACGTTCAAACCAAGAAGGACCTACTAATTTATTCACAGTTGCTCGTGCAAAAAATCTTCCGGAAGTTCCTGACTGGAGTATCAATTCTCTCCTGCAACAATCACTGGTCGCTGTGCTCGTACCTCAAGTAATAGAGAATAACTCCGATCGAAGGCTGTAGGAGTGAACAGCAATCGCCTTGTAGAAGGCCAAGGGAGGTTTGGATTGTTGGAATGGAAGTTTTTGATGGATTTATTTCGATTGAACAGCATGCTAGCCCTCCGGAGTTGAACTTTGACCTAGACTTTGAACCCGTAAGTATCCAAATACAGTACAATGTACATGATTGTCATTGACCATCGTGTACTCTGGAGCAGGGAGTGGCATTTTTACTACTCCCTAGATCCCTAGCCCTGCTCTTGACGGTTCATGTACCTGCGCTCGCTCGTCGTAGAACGTCTTCTGGTGACTAGTCTATCATATCATCAGTGGTTGTGTGTCACTCGAGTCATGTACAGTAGGTATCGGTTATAGCGTGGGTGTTTGAAAAACGACTTTCTATTCTTATTTCCGATATTTCTTACACACGATAAATCAAGTGTGGCATATCATTATGCATGTGCGAATGGGCAGGAAGATCATCGTACATGCAACGCAGTACTTCTGTGCATGTGGCTGGTCATAGTCGACCCATAGCCGGCATAGGCTTACCATGTGGCTATGCAACATGGGTCACATGACCACAACATTGGAATCTGCAGCACTACGACCCAACGAGAGTCAGATCAGAACGGAAATGGACAGATGTAATTACTACAGGCGATACACTTTGTACTAATCTGGCATGTTTCGCGACACAAAGTCCATTCTTACTCTTAGGACCGATATATTCTACTATGGGATAAAATTGCTTGTAAGAATAAATGTGCACTTGAAATCCTTGTTATGATTATGAAAACATGAGCGTTCATTCTTGTAGGCAGTATACCTTCTCTACACCACGAACAAGCAACGCCAGTCGTACTACTGACAAGCCTGTCAGCACCAAGTACGACTGGTCGATCGTACGTGAAGCCGCCAACCGCCACAGGAAGCCCGCGGATCTGCGTGGAGGTGAGAAAATAACACGCAGAGTTGTATTCGTTGGGGGCATCAATGATCAACTGCAGTGCTGATGATCTTGTTGCGTACTGTAGAAAGAAGAATGTGGAAGTAACTACTTAGTACTGGCTGTAAACTGATCCCCTCCAGAACAGTGTATGGCGCCGGCACGTTGTACGCACATCTGACAGTTGCTGAGCATGACGAAAGAAATGTTCTGGAAAACGATTTCTGGCCCGAGCATGTAACAGCACGAGAATGGAAGTTCAAGAACCCACCCCTCTCCAAGAAATCATAAACTGTGATGTTGAATCCACACGCACCCATCTTTTTTCCCACTAGGACCACATCGACACCATCATCTAACAGTGTGTCAGGGCAACTGAACCCAGATGCACCTACCTTCACTCTCCCATCACCATACGATGCCTCAGCCTTCATACCAAACAAACATCCCCATCATATGCGGCTAGCCACAACCAATGCTTGCAGCTGGTACCCAAAGGCCGATGAAATTAATAACATATTTGGTACTTCAGACATGGACATATTAGGCATCACCGAAACCTGGCTAACTCAGAAAATTCCTAACTCTGTATTATTGCCAACTGCCGCTTTTGACATAGTGCGAAGAGACCGCCCATCTCATGTCGCTCTGCGTGGCGGTGGTGTTGCTTTCTTACTCCGACCAGGACTCGCCTACGTCAGACGAGCAGACCTCGAGCCTGCCAACACCAACCTTGAAATCCTATGCATTCAACTTAAAAATGGCCACAAAGATGTCTATATTATCTGCTGTTATCGGCCACAAAGGCAGGATCATTCAACCTTCCTCTCTGGCTTGCGTGAGTCCATCTCTTCCATTACGGACACTACGGCTTCCATTATCATCCTCGGTGACTTTAATGCTCGGCACAACGAATGGTATAGGCAGGACCCGAACACTACTGCTGGAAGATGCCTTGTCGAACTGCTGGATGATACTGGTTTTACACAACTTGTACGCGACCGCCCAACACGTTTCTCCGCCGCAGGTCAGAGCTCTTCTCTCCTGGACCTTGTTCTCTGTAACCAACCATTCCTCATCCACAACCTCACCACACTTCCCCCTGTTTCTGATCACTGTCCTGTGGTATTTGATCTCGCAATAGTATACAGACTCGTTCCCAGCAACCAGTGCACTCTGATTTGCTCGTGAACAACTATGCAGCCACAGACTGGCCCGCACTTAATAACCACCTTTGGAGCCTCCCTCTTCTCGCTGCTGTACAAGAAGCCAGTAGTACAGATGAAGCATGGGTCTCCTGGCGAACACTAGTTGACACAGCCATATTATCTTTTGTTCCGAAGGTTCGAAAACGAACAAATCGTTATGGAAAGCCTTGGTTCACCTCTGTGCACCATCGCCTCCGTCAACGTCGAGATCGACTATTTGCTGCAGCAAAACGTGTCAATACCCCTGAGTGCTGGGCTGCTTATCGCATTTCAAGGAACTGCCTCGTCGCTGCCATCCGTAAAGCTAAACGTCACTTCTACGACCAGATTATTATTATTATATTAGATGTCAGAAGGCCTTCATGCAGATCGAGGATCTTATGACTGGTGGAAGAGAGTCAAGAAAATGTGCCACATCAATTGTCCTCACACCGCTATACCTGATATACAAGGAGTCGATACCTTAGCGGTTACCGACCCTGAGAAAGCGAACATCTTCTGTCAACAGTTCGCCAAGAATAGTCAAGCTACACCGTCGTCGGATGCAGATCATCGTGATCTCGCCATGCCTTCTTCTTCGGAAACATTTGCCATCCGCCCTCTGTCCGTCGTAGAAGTATTCAAGGCACTGTCGACCCTAAGTGTGCGAAAGTCTACAGCTGGCAGTCTTCCTAACAGGATCCTGCACCACTTACCGATCCCAACCCCTTGAGTGGAAAGCTGCAATCGTTACCCCAATTTACAAGGGTAAGGGAAGTCGCAATGACCCTGCTAGCTACCGGCCGATATCTCTGCTGAATGGTGTGGCAAAATGCTACGAAGCGTTAATCAGCCGCCAGGTGTATGCGTTTGTAGCGAAACACAAACTACTGTCGCCGAAACAGTTCGGATTTCGCCACCACCGAAGCACGGTTGACCAACTTGTGTATATCACATCAACTGTCAGCTCTGCATTTGATAACCGGGCCCAGTGTGATGCCGTCTTTCTCGATTTCTCGAAGGCATTTGATCGTACCAGCCATCGCCTCCTAGCCTCATGTCTGTCCGGTTGGTGTGCACCTGACTCATTCGCGTGGCTGATGGACTTCCTGGAAGGCCGATCGATGTCTGTGCGGGTCGGAACCTCCTTATCAACCCATATGTCGCTCACCGCTGGTGTGCCACAAGGCTCCCACCTAGGCCCTCTATCATTCAACCTTTCTATCAACTCCCTTCCCAGCATTCCCCAATCCAGCGATCTGACTCTGTTTGCGGATGATTCCAACATGGTCTGCGTTTCTCCGCCTACTGTCGTACCCGCCGCGCACACTGCCTCCCTGCAACTAGACCTTGATAGATGTGTGAACTGGTCTCATAAAGCTGAAGCAGTTTTCAATGCTAACAAATGTGTCCATGTTCCCTTTCGCAGACCTAAATCAAACTCACCTGATCCCAGGACCGTCACCATGGCCGGTACGTTACTGACCCAGCCCTCTTCCCACCGCCATCTGGGCATCATCCTCACTCCTTCACTCAATCTGTCCCCCCATATTCAACACATTACCAGCAAATTTCGAGGTCGGGTTTTTCTTTTAAACCACATGTCCAACTTCCTTCCTTTTCCTGCTGTGAATCTTTTGTATAAATGTTATGTTCGTCCCCTCCTTGAATATGCTGTTCCCGTTTGGATGTTTTCCGTTTCAGCCACCATGTCCACAACCCTTGATAAACTGCAGGCTACTGCTGCTAGAGCATACTTAAATAGTAAACTCAAGCGTCGGCCTGACTGGACGACTTCCAAAGAAGACCTCAATGTTCTGTCCTCTTGGGAATCTTTAGCATGGCGACAGCAGATTCTTGGCCTTGTCTATTTCCACCATGTATTCTCCCAATACCCCTCCTTGTTGTCTCACTTCCAGCTACTCTCTTCCCAAAGCAGTCGTCACCCTTCATCCATAATTCTTCCTAAAGCTGGCACCTTCTTTCGTAAATCAACCCTTTTTTCTTTGAGTGTTGCCTGGAATAAACTTCCTGAAGATATTCGTTCACTCTCTACAACAGCGAAATTTAGTATTGCTGTTCGTCGGTATCATTCGCAATCTATGTTTTCTTTGAAAGGTATTCCTGACTTTTGTGTCTAGGCTAACCACATCTATGATAGTTTCAATAGTTTGTGTATATGTCAGTTATAGTAGTCCGCAATGCTGCTTTTCTAATTCTCATTATGATTAGCATGCAATGTACTACCCGAAGTACTGAATTTACTTCTTCTGTACTCTATATTCTAATGTATCTTCTACCTTTTCTCCCTTACGAACATACTTTCTCAATTTCCATACTTACTTAGGAGACTCCCTTCGATAGGCATCTATTTGCCTCTGGAGGATCCGTGAAATAAAAATCAATCAAATCAATCAAATATTCTTTTACACGACCACGCTATAACCGATACGCACTGTACAGTCATGTACATGTACGTGTCCCCTGCCACTATAAATATAATTATTACATCTATTGTAGGGCTAGCAGCTGAGCAGATATGCTTCGAGCTGACAGTGGCTCTACTCCGTCAGAGCCGCAGCAAATATCTACATGTAGATAACACCCGCTGAGAGTCCAGTTGTGAGAGTGGACCCGATCAGAGGGTACAATACTGATGGTGTGAATAAGGAGGGATGGTGGGAAAAGAAACACAGCTGAAGAACGATCTGTTGTCTGGAAGAACACAACGAGGGCAAGCAAGATTTTCTTTTCAGCAAAAATGGGCTGGTTGCCATTTGTAGATTACTATGCCCAGCAAAACAAAGCGCATGACGTCATTCTTGAATGCAATATTATTATTATTATTATTATTTTAATAAAATCGATTTTGGAAACACACAAGACCAAACCTTGAACAAATTGTCATGTTGCGTGGTG